GGATGTTCTATTTTTTGAGTATGGAGATTATCCTCGTTCCTTGAGATGAGATGTGCGCCCCCTTGGGGGTGTTCTATTTTTTGAGTAGGGAGATTATACTCGTCTCTTGAGATGTGATGTGAACCCACTTGGGGTTGAAAAGTAAGGGTGATGCCCAACCTTAGGATGGGGATAACTGCCCACTGTAGGATGAGGCGCTCGAGACCTATGGTCTGAGGTGGATGTGCACGGTTGTGCCATTGGTTTGCGCGTGCGCGTCAGACCATTTTTTCTGTTTTTTGAAGTAGGGACGTGAAACACTTGATGGGATGTGAAACCCCTTGGGGTTGAAAGGTAAGTGGATGTACCACCCTTGAGATGAGATACCCAACTTTAGGATGGGATAGCCCCCCATTTAGGATGAAGGGATCACGAACCACTGGGGTGAGATGCCCAACCTTGGCGATATATGGTGCCACCGATTCAGTGGCAGCACGAGTTGAATCTTCCGTGATCATACGCTGAAGGTCTTCTTCGGTTATCTGAACCGTTCGAGAAGTAAGTAGAAATTGATCATGTTGAGGACCTAGTGGGGCCTCACGAGGAGGAGCGTTGGCTCCTGCTATGACGATGTATGGTGCCACTGCTTCAGTGGTAGCACAAGTTGAAAGCTTCCGCGATTATACGCTGAAATTGATGTAGAGAGGTGAGGGGATACCCAGCCTTTGGGGATGGGATGTCCAACCCTTGGGGTGTGTTAGCCCCCCAGCTCAGGAGGAGTTACGTGATGCGGGGATGGTACGCGTGGCGTGGGAGCACAGGGCGATGATGCGCGAGGGATAGGCGCGCGGCGCTAGCGCACGTCGGCGAAGGCGTGCGGCGCTAGCGCGCATCGGCGAGGGCGCACGGCGCTAGCGCCCGCTAAAGGCGCAAGGCTAGGGGGCGCGCGGCGCGGTGCTGGGGCGCAAGGCCAGCGGGCGCGCGCGGCGGCAAGGGCGTGCGCGGCATTGCAGCGCAAGGCCTGGGCGTCGGAGGTCGCGTTTGCGCGTGGTAGCCTCGAACGAGTTGTCTCGTCGCGAGGTGGTAGGGCCGAGCATTTTGAGACATGTTTCACCACAATTTAGTTGAAGGGTGAGAGTTGTCACACGGGTAAGTAGTAACTGGGGAGTTGTATCGCCCAGATGTTATATCGACTCGAGAGTTGTCTTGAGGCTAAATATTATTGTCGGGGAAGTTGTCCCGCTGCGACGTGGTAACGACTCAAGAGCTGTCTCGAGGCTAAGTGTAGGCGTCGGGGGAGTTGTCCCGCTGCGACGTAGTAGCGACTCGAGAGTTTTCTCGTGGCTATAAGACATCTCATGTACTTGAAGTAGGACATCCAATGTAGTTGAAGTAGGATATCTGATGTACTTGAAGTATGATATCAGATGTAGTTGAAGTAGGACATCTGACGTACTTGAAGTATGACATCAGATGTAGTTGAAGTAGGACATCTCATGTACCTGAGGTAGGACATCAGATGTAGTTGAAGTAGGACATGTGATGTACCTGAGGTAGGACATCAGATGTAGTTGAAGTAGGACATCTGATGTACTCGAAGTATGACATCTGATGTACCTGAGGTATGACATCAGATGTAGTTGAAGTATGACATCTGATGTACCTGAGGTATGACATCAGATGTAGTTGAAGTAGGACATCTGAAGTACTCGAAGTATGACATCAGATGTAGTTGAAGTAGGACATCTGATGTACCTGAGGTAGGACATCAGATGTAGTTGAAGTAGGACATCTGATGTACTCGAAGTATGACATCAGATGTAGTTGACATCTGATGTACCTGAGGTATGACATCAGATGTAGTTGAAGTATGACATCTGATGTACCTGAGGTATGACATCAGATGTAGTTGAAGTAGGACATCTGATGTACTCGAAGTATGACATCAGATGTAGTTGACATCTGATGTACCTGAGGTATGACAGCAGATGTAGCTGAAGTAGGACATCTGATGTACCTTAGGTATGACATCAGATGTAGTTGAAGTAGGACATCTGATGTACCTGAGGTAGGACATCAGATGTAGTTGAAGTAGGACATCTGATGTACTCGAAGTATGACATCATATGTAGTTGACATCTGATGTACCTGAGGTATGACATCTGATGTACTCGAAGTATGACATCTGATGTACCTGAGGTATGACATCAGATGTAGTTGAAGTAGGACATCTGATGTACTCGAAGTATGACATCAGATGTAGTTGACATCTGATGTACCTGAGGTATGACAGCAGATGTAGCTGAAGTAGGACATCTGATGTACCTTAGGTATGACATCTGATGTAGTTGAAGTAGGACATCTGATGTACTCGAAGTATGACATCAGATGTAGTTGAAGTAGGACATCTGATGTACTCGAAGTATGACATCAGATGTAGTTGACATCTGATGTACCTGAGGTATGACAGCAGATGTAGCTGAAGTAGGACATCTGATGTACCTTAGGTATGACATCAGATGTAGTTGAAGTATGACATCTGATGTACCTGAGGTATGACATCAGATGTAGTTGAAGTAGGACATCTGATGTACTCGAAGTATGACATCAGATGTAGTTGACATCTGATGTACCTGAGGTATGACAGCAGATGTAGCTGAAGTAGGACATTTGATGTACCTTAGGTATGACATCAGATGTGGTTGAAGTAGGACATCTGATGTACTCGAAGTATGACATCAGATGTAGTTGACATCTGATGTACCTGAGGTATGACAACAGGTGTAGCTGAAGTAGGACATCTGATGTACCTTAGGTATGACATCAGATGTAGTTTAAGTAGGACATCTGATGTACTCGAAGTATGACATCAGATGTAGTTGACATCTGATGTACCTGAGGTATGACATCAGATGTAGCTGAAGCGGGACATCTGATGTACCTGAGGTATGACATCAGATGTAGCTGAAGTAGGACATCTGAATGGCCTAGTCGATCATATGTCGAATATCCTCTTTGGTTATCTGAACCATGTGAGGTGGAGCTGGTTGATGAGGGTCTTGCTGAAGGTTTCGAAGTGGATCTCGAGCGCGACCTCAAGTGTCATCTCGAAGATAGCCTCGAGGATCATCACGAGGGGGTCTAGAAGGGGATCTCGGTCACGACGTCAGGTGACGTCCTGAGATATGTCTCGAGGATCATCACATGATGGTCTAGAAGGAGATCTCGGTCACGACGTCAGGTGATGCCCTGAGAAGTTGTCAAACCTGAACCTGCACGTGGCAAGTTGGTTGTTGTTCTGAGGTTGTGCTATGGGTGAAGCCACAAGAGGAGCGTTGGTTTCCGTTGTGGCGATGCGTTGTGCTACTGCTTCAGTAGCAACGCGGGAAGATGCTTCCGTAATCATAAGTTGAAGGGCCTCCTCGGTTATCTGAACCGTTAGAGGAGCAAGTAGAAGTTGATCTCGTTGAAGGTTCGGCGATCATATGTTGAAGCGCATCCTCGGTTATTTGAACCATTCGAGGAGCAGGGAGTGGTGGATCGGCGAGTGGTGGGTCCCGAGGGGGGATCACCTGAACCTCGCGAGGCGGATCCATGGGATGTGGAGGAGGTGGCAAGCCAGAGCCTCCACAAGGTGGGAGGTCGTTAGCTGTGTCATTTTCTCTCCGAGCAGACGCCTCAGGAGGATCTTGTTGGCTACGTGATCTGGTTTGCATCGTTCCCACAGACGGCGCCAAAATGATGATGCTAAAATATTAGCTCACCTAGGGTGGTGTAGAAAACGAACTGGGAGAGCAAAGCAGATCAGTAGCTTGACAACTTGATGATCCTGAGGTACCTGCGATCATAGAACACATAAGCTAAGTCGGGGGTTGATCCGGCGGAAACCCCTCCAACGCTCAAGTCAGACGTGCTGATCATAGAAATAGTCCAGAGAATACCATTAGTAGTATTGCTCAGATAATAGGACGTACCTTAATAAAATGAGTAAAACCTCTATTTATATGTCGTTTATTGGGTTGGGTTTGCTTTGTTGGGCCCAAACCTTACTTGAAGGTGTTTGGGCCTCGGTGATATTAGTCTTCGATATTGGGCTCGTAGCCCAGTAGGTAAAGAAATTGTAGGCCCATTGGGTTGGCCCAATTAGGCATATCATATATATATATTGAGATCAACCACTCTGATGTTGAAAGAAAATAAAAATAAAGACAGAAGTCCTCGACCACCAAAAGTATGAATGAAGTGGACATAGGTTAGGTAAAACATTTTTATTGGATGAAATCTCTTTAATTTAATTTAATTATGTAATGGAATCCAAAAATTCTATTACATCCAATCTCCTTAAACCAAAATTAAAAGATACAAAAAAAAATTAAATTTTTTTTTACAGAATTGATTAGTTTGGTGGGCCACCTTTATTTTCTCTTGTAATGGACTTGAATTTACTAAAAAAAAATTTAGCTTGGTGGGCTATAAAGCCCAACTTTGTTCTGTTTGGAAATTAAATTCCCTAAATATTTTTTCTTAGTTCGTTTCTCATGTATATTTCAACGTGTCTTGTATTTTGAGTTTTATCGAACCGAAACTCGAATATGTAAATCAAGAAAATAAATGTAAACTGATAATTTAGATAAGAAGATAAGGAATTATCTTGAGATTGTTGAAAACAAGGTTTCGTAAATGCTGCGTTTTGTCGAATGTTTAGTCTAATTGTTTTATAATAGATCTAAAAAATTGGCATACACATGCAGGCCGGATGTAAATGTGTACTAAATGAATAGTTATCTATATATATTTATCGTGTAGTGTAAGAGTAAACAAATCTTTAAAAAAGTAACATATATCATTATGAAAAATAAATAAATTAAATTTCAGTTTTGTAATCCCATACCTCAAGACAAATAAATAGTAACAAAAAAAGATATTGTAAGGAAAAAAAATATATATAAATAGACAAAGTTGGTGGTGGAGGAAGGGGGTAGAAATGTAAATAAATAAAAATAGTGAAGGGCAAAAAGGGGAAAGAAAGAAAAGAAAAGGTTGAGCAAGAGAATAGGAAATATGTGGGCGTTGATGAGTAAGAAGCCATTTACTTTCCCTTGTTGTTAGCCCTTTTTTTTTCTTTTTTTGTGGCCAAAACATTTGATCACATATTCAATTCTTTTTCTTTTTTTAATTTTTTTTTTCTTTTTTTATTTTTGTGGCACCATTAAAAGGCCTCATGAAATTCCTTGAAAAACACATCAAACTCTCACTCAAGCTCACTTTTTTGTCTATGTCAACATAAACCCAACGCACCTCAGAAACCAAACCGCCCTTCTCTTTCATCTCTCTCTCTCTCTCTCTCTCTCTCTCTCTCTCCTGTCGTTTTGGCTACATCAATTCAATGTAAAACACCCCTCTTTCTCTCTCTACTATGTAGCATTGTAAGAGGCAATTTTATTTAATTATTTATAATTATTACATATATTTTTAATGTATATGCAATGTTTGTCAGCCAAAGTTCAAACAAAATACCTTTGATTTTGAGGCCCATTTCTAATCTCTATGTTTCTTGAATGTTATTTTGCTCCCTGAATCAAAAAAAAAAAAAAAAAAAAAGATTGCATTTTTATTTATGTTCTAGCGAATCTTGACGATTTTGAGCTGTCTGAGAAGAACCCATTTGGAATTTGCATCAAAGGTACAATCTTGATTTCATTTTTGTCCGAAGAAATTCCTGAGATCTGTTTGTGTTGTAGCCCCTTTTAATTTTCCTCTTAATTTTTGTAATGGTGTAATCTCATTGATGTGTGTGTGTGTGTGCTGAAATGTTTTTAATTATAGGTCAATGGGCAAAAGGCTATAATATCCACTTTGAATGCTCTTAAACTTTTCTTGAAAAAATAATCATGTGGCTGATTTTTTTTTGCTTCTCTGTATATAATATATATAATGGGATCTATTGCTTATAGGCTGTGGCGGAGCCATCATAGTGTCACGGGGGTCATTGCCCCCCACCGTTTCTAGAAAATCTACTATGATATGTTAGGTTTTCGGTTTTCGGGTTTTCGGGTTCATATGTTATATGGCTTTTCATCTATGATATATATTGTTCTCATTCTCAATACAAATTTTCACTTTCCTTACAAAGATTCAATCTTTACCCCTTGTTTTGGAAATTTAGCTCTTCCGCTTCGGTTTATATTTCGCCATGATATTCTTTTTCTTCAGTTTCATTCGATTAACGGAAGAAACTCGATTATTACTATAATGTTTTTGCGAAGAGTTAGCACGAATGGATATTTTGCTCCATACTCGACAGTTTGTAAATATTCGCATTAAAATGACACTTTTTTACTTATTTGATCATGCAATGTTGTTTGTTTTAGTTACCATTTACGTTACATTCGATCATGATTCGTGCATATAAGCCAAGTGTCGTTTTTTAATTGGATAAATTCCTTTTGTAGCCTCTATATCATGGAAGGGGAAACATCATGGGTGAGTCATTGCGTCGAAAACTTCCCGAACCCAACCACAGGGTTCAACTCATTCTCCGAACTCACCGAAGAATCCAACAAAGAAGAATCTTCCGGAATTTCCATGGATCTAATCTTACCCAACGACCTTTTGGAAAAAATACTAGCCAATCTCCCAATTGCAAGCATTTTCCGAGCAAGCTCTGTCTGTAAACGATGGAACGAGATAGTAACATCAAAAAGATTCGCTTTTTACAGTTCTAACGCATCGCCACATAAGCCATGGTACTTCATGTTCACAAGCTCGGACGAACCAGTTGGCTACGCATACGATCCAATCTTGAGAAAATGGTACAATATAGACCTCCCATGCATCGAGACATCTAATTGGTTCATCGCATCATCGTACGGTCTCGTTTGCTTCATGGACAGAGACACCACGAGCCGCCAGCTGTACATCTGCAACCCGATTACCAGATTATGCAAACGGGTCGACAACCTGCCCGGCCCGAGTTCATCCGACTACACTGCATTGGCTGTGTACGTGGACCGCGGGACCCGCGAGTACAATATCTCAATCGTGAAATCGAGGCAGGTTCCGGATAATTTCGTCCAATGGGATCTCACCCTTCATTTGTACAATTCGAAATCGACGGCGTGGACCACTCTTCTGACGGAGAATCTGACAGGGTGGCGAGGTGGCGACGAGAGCGTGATTTGCGATGGGGTTTTGTACTTCTTGATCTACCCGACAGGTGGCGGTGGACCCCACAACCAGCACGGTGTTATTACGTACGACCTTAAAAAGCGGGACCCGCATGGGTTATTAATGAGGAGCTTTGTACCGGTGCCTTGTTCGCTCACGTGCGGGCGATTGATGAGTATGAGAGAGAATCTTGTGATGGTGGGTGGAATAGGGAAGAGGGATAGGCCGGATATTATTAAGGGGATTGGTGTGTGGACGCTCGAGGGTAGAGAGTGGAGGGAAATATCGAGAATGCCACACAAGTTCTTCCAAGGGTTTGGTGAGCTGGACGATGTTTTCGCGAGTAGTGGGAGCGATGAGGTGGTGTACATACAGAGTTACGGTGCACCCGCGCTTCTTGTTTTCGATGTGCGTCACAAGGTGTGGAAGTGGTCAGGGAAGTGTCCGGTGACTAAGAGGTTTCCGCTGCAGCTTTTTACGGGCTTTTGCTTCGAGCCGAGGCTGGATATTGCTCCATAAATTCGAAGCTCTTTTTTTTTTCTTTTTTTTTAATTTTAATCTATTGATGTTTTTTGGTTTTAATAAGTATTTTTGATATCGAAAATTCAATTGGGTTGGATATGAATGGGTTGATCCTTCTTTGTTCTTTGACATTGCATTTCTTTAATTTGCTTTGACCCTTCGCTCGTACTAATTACTATTCGATCGAATAGATTATCGACAAAAAAGGTTTGTCCTAGTCATCAAGTTTTTTTTTGTGTGTGCGCGAGCCTGCGATTCACTTTCAATGCGTGAGTTTAGGGAATATGTTCATTCATAGGGTCGAAATCGACATCTATGAATTGAAAGCTCCGAATGATCACATTCCCCTAGTGCCGGAGCTCGTATAGGGCTATGGTCTGAAAAACGTCATGTGTTTACATAAATATTTGTTATTTTTCACTTCGTGTCAAATTGTCGGGACTCTAAAGAAGTTGTTCTTTTGTATATATTTAATCCCGTGAATATAAAATTCTGGCTCCGCTAGTAGTAACGGGCTTCAATGCTAGTAGTATTCTATCACCCTATTTTTGCCTATAATTGGGGAATTACATATTTTTTGTTTGGATATGAAATTTTGGACCATACTGTGTGTGTGTGTGTGTGTGTGTGTGTGTGTGTTTATTGTGCACAAGTTGAGTATGACTTCATGCACATAGCACATGGGGGTGTAATGTGGGATGTACCACATTTATAAGGGACCATATCTGCAAATTCTACATTAATTGTCTAATATTTCTCTTTATATGTGGGGGGTGGGGACCGTTTGATTTTCTTCATCTTGAAAATTTATGAGTGGTCCTGGCCCACTAACTAAACCCAAGCTATATTACCCAAGTGAAAAATCAAAATCGCAATTTAATTTGCTGGGATTCGATTAATGTCGTTTCAGTTTTAATAATATTGTTTCACTTCAACCGTGATTTTGACGGTTGTTTGTGCTGAATTTGGCAAAACTCAACACCAAATTATGTAATTGTTTGAGTTTAACTTTTTAATCCAACTAGAATCGACATAGTTTTATCTAAATAATATTCTTGCTACTGTATTTGTCATCATGTATTTCTATTTTTTTTTTTATCAAAATAATATTTATTATTAGGACAGTGACATGCAATGTCTGGAAAATTAAAAAATGGAAGAAAATGGGCCCATAAAGAAAATGATATGAAAGTCAATTAATGTATAAAGGCTTTATGTCGTATTCAAATTGGACCAGTTTCCAATCAAGATTCACTATTGGGCTGATTCACATCATTTTTGTCTTATCTTGTGGGCCCAGCCCAGCTCATCACAACCGTGATTCACATTTTTTTTTTCTTTTTCAAACATCCTATAATATTACCCGACTACGCGTTAAACTAAAATGCCAAATCCCGCACTAGGTCTACTGATTCCTGCACATAATTAAAAAACTTTGAAAAACAAAAAAAATGATTTTTGAAACTTACATGGTCGTTGATGGAGTGAACGGCGGAGAGTATGAACGGGCGTCCCCAAAAATCGATTTTGAAACATTTCAATTTAAAAAAGTCAGACATTTCGATTTAGTGTTCTTTTATATGAGTTAGTTTTTAACGTCTAATTTATTTTGGAAAAAACTAATTTCGATTCAATTTATCCTATAAATTAAATTGGAAATACATAAATATAGAGGATATAAATTGGGGTTGGGCTTCCAATAAATGAAGGAAGTTGAGGGGGGTGGTGCATCAATGATGTTGATCATACTATACCTACATGTTCTAGCTCATGGACCACTATTATATATATAATGTATGATGCAATTTTTGGGTTTCAACAAAAATCTACTATGTTTATTGAAAAAGTTACTAGGTTTGACAAGGTCACTTTTTAATGTACACGTTTTGTTAGTTAATAATACATTTATTTAAACCTAAGTTGTCGGTACGTTGTTTTCTGCTTTCGGTGAAATACATCGAATGATCCTGAATCATCGATTTATATATATATACGTGTACGTAGTGGATAATTATTTATATATGCTATGATTTATATATATATATATATATATATATATATATATATATATATATATATATATATATATATATATATATATATATATATATATATATATACATACACACGTGTACGTAGTGAATAATTATTTATATATGCTTTTCAACAGATGTAACATTTTGTAACCATATTACAACAATATACTACTCCCTCCCTCTGTTCCACAATATCTGTCACTATTAAGAATTTTTTTTCCATAATATCTGTCACTTTAGATTTCCAATACTGCATTAATTGCGTAATTATCAATTTTACCCTTATTAACTATATCCAACACTCTCTCACATTAATTATTGGCAAGGGCATTTTAGTATAAAAACATATATTTTCCTAAAATTAAGCAATATTTATTGAGATCTTTAATACTTGTGCATAAGCTAAAAACGACAATTATAAAGGTACAAATGGAGTATGAATTAACCAAACCGAGTTGCAACTTGCAAATATACCTTGTTTTTTTTTAATTTTTTTTATATATATTACTAAATTTGTTTGAAAGATACATGGGTAAATAGGGGTAAAAATGCATGAATAAAATAGAAATCATAATTAATAATTAATATCAAACATCACAATCTAGAAAATAAAAGACAAAATTGGGGCAGACAATCTGTACCAGGTGGGAAGAGCTCAAAGGGTGGTGTTGTTTCCATCGCGACACGTGTCACCCAGCAGGTTACGTGCTACAGTAGCCATGATTTCAGATTCAACCCTCTTAATAGCCATAGCTATTTCTTTTGATGAACTAAAGTAATTAGCAGCATGCAACGAAAAAGTGTAACGGAAGGAAGGAACACATGTAGTGTGTGCTTTTGTGTGTGAGAGAGAAGATACAAAGTAGTTCGAGTAGTTAAGAACACATAAAGAGGAAAGAGAGGATTTTTTTTGTGTGTGTGTCAGAGTGTGTGATTTCAAAATTCAATTATCTCTCACCTGTGCGTGAGTATTATTTGTTGTCAGCACTGAAACTCTGTAACAACTCTGAGTCAGCAGATACTCTCGCTCTAGAATTATTTCATTTCTAGAGAGAGAGAGAGAGAGAGAGAGAGAGAGGGGAAATAATAATGAACAGTGGTGAGGAGGAAAAAGTAAATGAGAAAAGAGGAGAATTATTGTTGATGGGGGATAAATTGAAACGTGTGGGGGGTAAAAGTAAAAGAGAGGGAAACTCTACGCCTTCACCTACATGGAAATTGGGGCTAATTCAATTTGATGGCAAAACCCTAATTCAGGATCTCAATTTCTCCACCAAATCGAACAATAATCTCTCTGCCAGGAAATTGGGCGCCAATCTGTGGGAAATGCAGCCCCTCCGCCGCTCTAACATGGCCGACAATTTCCCTAGCTTCAGCCATCATCACCACAAAGACGATGAGGAAGACGAAGAACACAGTCCCTTAAACCAGGTGAATACCTGGAAAATACTACTCTTTTATTTATTATATATATATATATATTTTTTTTTTTTGCAAATTTCCTCTTAATGTGTGTACGTGGGAAAATTACAGTTTTCGCCCGTCAAGTTTACACCGATTCCACTTTTGGTCTACAAAAGACACATTTGGTCCCTCAAGTTTCAATAATCTAACGTTTTTTGTATTTTTCGTCAATTTACCATTAGTCTCTCAGTTAAGGCGGTGATGTACCAAGTTAAGGCGGTGATGGGTACAGGCTTGATTCCGGTGGTACTAACGGAAAATTGATGAAAATGACTAAAAATGTTGAATTTTCGAAACACTAGGGACCAAATGTGTTTTTTATGAACATGGGGACTAAATATGACATCAGTTCAAATTTGAGGGATGAAAAATGTAATTTTCCGTATGTATATACAGTATAGCTGTGATTATAGTTGTAAGTTGTGAAATGGATTTTCTGATTTAGTGATATTTGATGAGTAATTGCTAGAAAGCAACATACAATTGCATACTCGTTGTTTGTTTTTTGCAATTCTGTTACTGATTTTTGCTCTCCATATATATTACAGCTGAAAAATGGCGTAAATTCGAGAAAGCAAAATTCACCGTCACTTACACGACACAATCGAAGAGTCGAAAAAGTTGCGCAAGCTCAACAGCCACTGTCTACTGCTAGCTATTGTAGTTCAATGGAGGTATATTCTTCATTGCTTTAGCTATTGTGATTCTTGATTTCGAGATCGGATGCACCGATTAAGGTCTCGTTTGGTTGGTGAGATTAATCACGATTAATTAACTGTAGTCCTGCCTAATTGGGAAATTATTAACTAGACGTCTAATGGTCCAACAGTTATAATTGGGTTTTCGTAATATTATTTAATCGTATCTTAGGAACCAAACGAGGCCTTAGAATACATAATGTAAGCCGTGTATTTTGTTGTTGGATAATGTAAGCCGTGTATTAATCCTTTTTTGTTTTCCATTTTGGGAAAGCCAGGTGGCTCCGCATAGACCTGCAATCAGCCCAAACAGTTCTTTACCCTCCACCAGCAAATTCGGGGAGTCGAGTCACAGCCTCAAAACATCGACCGAGTTGCTCAAAGTGCTCAACAGGATTTGGAGCCTCGAAGAAAAACACGCACTAGACATGTCGTTAGTGAAAACGTTGAGGAACGAACTGGACCAATCACATGCAAGAATTCAAGAACTGCTGCAAGATAAGGAAACCGAACTAAACAAAATCGATACTTTAACCAAGCAAGTATCGGAGTACAAAAGCGAACTCAAATTAAAAAGAAATTCAGAAAAGCGTCACAAAAAGCTAACGACAGAGCTTTTAGAGATCAAGTCTTTGTTCTCTAACGCCTTGACAGAACTCGAACAAGAGAGGAAAGCTCGTACATTGATAGAGGACCTATGCGACGAGTTTGCCAAAGGCATAAGAGAATACGAACAAGAACTACGGTTAACGAAGCACAAATTTTAGTAAAGGACAAGATTCCAAGAAAAGGAAATGACCGTTTAGTCCTTCACATTTCCGAAGCCTGGTTAGACGAACGAGCACAAATGAAGCTAGCGGGTACTCAAAATGTTCTGGAAAAGCAATCATCTTTTGATAAGTTAATAGTCGAAATCGAAGCATTTCTTCGAGTAAAGCAATCTTCGAAAAGTGATATACTTTCGCGCTCTTTGGAATCCATCCACTTGAACGAGCCCGCAAGTGCTCCTTGGAAGGGGAACGAAGATGATGATTCTGCAAGTATTAGTCATCATCGTGCGCAGTTTCGTCACGCGAATGAAACAGGGCTGTCTGAGAACGAGGAATCGCCAGCAACGAAAAAATCAAGAATGGAGAATTCATACGGGGCGAAAAGTCTGCAAAGATTCTATCGGAATAGAATAAGTGATGCTGACGTGGAGTTGAAGGACGCGAGAGTTAGGAACCGTGCTTTGGAATCGGAGGATAAGAGGGTTCGAATATGGGAGAGTAATTGCCCAGAAGGTTCGTTCGATGCGGGTGTGTTTGCGGGCCCACCGAGTCCTGTTAGAAAATGGACTGATCATGAGATATGTGTGTCTTCTTCTCCAGGCTGGCAGAAGAGTATGAAAGCTGATACTTTGAAGGCAAAGTTGATGGAAGCAAGGCAGCAATCACGTGCCAGAATTTCCAAAGGCTAGAGACTTTAGATAAAGGAATTATGTGTAGGTTAATTAATTTATATGAGGAATATTCCTTTTTTTTCTTTTTTTTTTTGTAACAATTTTGATATCAACTTATGCAATTTCTTTATTTTATGATTTTTTAAATGAATCATAGTGGAGAAAATAGACTTCAATTTTATTTATCTATGTGGATTTAGGATCTTAGGTCCATGAGTTCATTGGTCATTTGATGTAAATGATCTATTAGTAATTACCAAATGGCCCCGGATGTTTTCTTAATTAAAATTCAAGATAAACTAAAATGAAAAATAAGCACTGTCCCACAAAAACCACATGGACTAGGCCCGGTTTTTGAGTTTTACATTTAATTAAGGGTAAATTACACCTACACCCATGAAGTATGCTAAAATAACTTTAAGGTCCATGTAGTATCGGTAATTATAATTATTCACTGAAACATTGTTAGAACCCCTAGCGGGATAACGCATTGAAAATTTTATTCCGTTAGAGTTCTAACGATCTATTAGTTTCAAGCAGTGTGGAGGCAACACAGAGCTACGGGTGACATGACACTCATAGCATTTCTTAAATTCTTATTATTTTATATAAAGTTTAGTCTATGGTAGCATTAATTGACCTGGGAAAAAACAAATATAGTGCCTATCAGTACCCAGAACATGAAACCTTGGCTCCGGTAATCGTTTCAGGTGTATGGATGTAATCACCAATACCATAGGGACCTTATAGTTATTTTAGCATGTGTTAGGGGTGTTGGTGTAATTTACACTTTAGTTAAATTGCAGAGTAAAAAGCAGTTTACCCCCTAAACAAATGCCTATTTTGCACTTTGCCTCCCAAACAAAAAAAATTTGCATGTTCTTACCTAAACTCCGGTTTTTGTTGCACGGTGCCTCAAAATTGGAATTTTCAGGCCATTTTGACCGGAGTCTTACACACGTGCTTTTCACGTGAGTTTTAAAGGGGCAAAAGAGTCTTTTCACTTACATTCTTCATAAATACAAAAAAAAAAAAAAACAGAACACAAAAAACAGAAAGAAAAAACCAAAAAAAGAAAACAGAAGAAAGAAAAAGAAGGGTTGCTGATCCGCCATTTCTACCCTCAAATCGACCATTTCGGAACCGACTTCTTCTTCATCTAGATAAACAACGGCGGCACCGACGAGATCCCCTCTACCCTCATAATCGATTTCGTGGTGAATTTGAATATAACAACAACATAACGTACAGTACGGGCTAATTAAACTTCGTTATGAATTTGTCTTTTTTTGCAATTATTGTAAGGATTTTTTTCTGCTGATTATAACTTTGTTATGAAAATGTGTGAAAAAGTGGGTTAACACAAACTGTTAATACTAATTAGGGGTTTATTACTATAGAATTAAATATTAGGAGTTTTAATTGAATTGTAATTAGACATATATCCATTACGTTTTCAACTTCCATAAGATTGAATCACAAATCAACAAACTTCTATCCATATTAAATACATAATATAAATGAATTAGACTATGCATTTGAATCTATCAATGGTGAAAATATTTAATTTGTACTACTCCAAATACATTATATACAAAATAAAACATTAATTTTTTCCATGAATTAACTTGGCCCGGCCCAAATAATCATATAATTTGGTGGCCCGAATAATCATAACAAAAAAATCCCAAATTTCCATTCTGCAAATTCGTTCGTTAGCAATGGCCACCTTCCTCAGTCAAGTAAGTTCCTTCTCGTGATTTTTCTGCTTCAATTGTTGTTTCTGGATTGCTGATCTCATTTTCCCGATTCACAAGATCTGATATTTTCTGCAATTTTTTTCTCGCTCGTAGCTGATTTTAGATCTGAAATGTCAGCATTCCCTGTTGATCTCCCTTTGATTCGTATAATTTGTGTGTTTTATCTCCAATCTCCTTCAGAAATAATCGTTAATTTGTAAAATCCTATGAAGAATCAAGCATTTTGATCGCTGCCCAGTGTGTGTGTGTGTGTGTGGAGATTTTTGCTAAGTACAGATCACGCATGAATGGGAAATGAAGGAGGGATGGGTGGGAAGTAGCCAAACTTGGGGTGGTGGAACCGTGGAAGTACTTTGGCGGGATTTTCGGGAAAGGTGGAAGTCGTGGGCAAGGTTTCTTATAGAACGGTGGTAGTGGATACAGAGGAATTGGTGGTGGAAGTGGCTTCACATAAACCAGCGGCTTGTAGATCGGGATTGTCACGTAAACCGGTGGCTTGTAGATCGGGATTGGTGGTGGAACTTGCTTCACCTAAACCGGCGGCTTCGGCTTGTAAACCGGTGGCTTCGGCTTAGGTTTGTGCACGCCTGGCTTGTATACTGGCGGCTCGGGTTTAGGCGGCTTGTAAACTGGCCGCTCCATTTTAGGCGCCTGAGTGGTGAAGAATTTGGGATTGAAATTGTTGGGTTTTTTGTTGGTGGTGGTGGTGGTGGCGGCGGCGGTGGTGGTTTCTTGTTCTTGATTTTGGTGGTGTTCCTCCGGGAAGAAAACTAAGAGAAACCCATTCCCATTCCCAGCTAATTACGATTTTCCCAGCTTCTTCTTTTTTTTTATTTTTTTTGTTTTATAATTTATGAAGAAGGTAAGTGAATAGACTATTTTGCCCCTTTAAAACTCACGTGAAAAGCACGTGTGTAAGAATCCGGTCAAAATGGCCTGAAAATTCCAATTTTGAGGCACCGTGCAACAAAAATCGGAGTTTAGGTAAGAACGTGCAAAATTTTTTTGTTTGGGGGACAAAGTGCAAAACGGGCATTTGTTTAGGGGTAAACTGCTTTTTACTCTAAATTGCAAATTATAATTTAGGCGTCGTCTTAAACACAATACACTACGGCGTCGTATTACGTTCTCTCTCTCTCTCTCCCTACATCGGTAATGGCAGCAGCGACGTTCAGATACTTGGTACAGCTACACAAGGACGTTCCGAAAGCGGCGAGATTCTACTCAGAGGGATTGGGCTTCACCATTGACGTCTGCACTCTCCGATGGGCCGAGCTCCATTCGGGCCCTCTCAAGCTCTCCCTCCTTCATTCCCCCAGGTCAATTTCCCTCTTTCTCAATTTTTCAATTTTTTCTTTTTAGTTTTGGTATTATATTTACTGAAGAAAGATTCGCATGATAAGATTCAGATGAAATTCGAGCGTGGTGAATCCGTAGATAATTCTGATTTCAATGATTCTGGTGTAGAAAACTATACAGAAGTTGTTAAAAAATTATTGCTCACTGGTTGATGCCCTAGTTGTACTATGTTTTTGAATCATGAACACTGTTCTTCCAATCTTTGGATTTCCCCGTGGCGTATTACAACGGATTAGCTCGTAATCCGGTGTTGACATTGCTAAGGTGCTCGCGAGAATTTGTTCGAAATCATTTTCGTCCGTAAAAAAAGTGATTAATAAAAAGTTACTTGGAAAAAAGTGTCAGAATTGATTCATCACTTCTTCCTCCGAAGTCTGACTGTATAATTAAATTATCGGCTTTCTCTTATTGTTCAGTGACAATGCTGAGAGCAAGGGCTACTCGTCACTACTATCGTTTACAGTAACCGACATAAATAGCACTGTAACGAAACTGATGTCTTTAGGCGCCGAATTGGACGGTCCGATTAAATACGAAGTCCACGGAAAGGTAATCCCCCTAAACCCTTATTGTAATTCGATTGCAATTTTCTTTTAGCATTACTACTTTTATTTTGATATTTTCCGGTGGTATATCGGATTCAACAGGTGGCAGCAATCCGGTGTGCTGATGGTCACGTCTTAGGTCTTTACGAGCCTTCTTAGAAATTCCCGTTCGAGAGTATGTATACTGCAGAGCATCATATATTTTGTGTAGAAGCTCCCGGTATGTATTGCAATCCCCAAATCGAATCCATTCCATTAATTCTTGACATTTGGGACCGATTTTTTTTCCTTCTTTCTTTCGTTTATGTTGTTGTATGTAGAAGTGCCTTTGACATGTATAAATATTAAATAGTGGTTATTTTTGCTTCTTCATTTTTATCTTCATCCTATTTATGCCGTCAGGTTATGTAAATATTACACCCGGTGAAATACGATTCCGTATTAATGAACTACATATAATAACACACACATCTCATAGTGTAAAATCACGCTTTTCACCAGATGTAGCATGTCATAGACAAATTTTAATCGTCAATTTTACATTAAATCTCATAAATGACTTCAAACTCTTAAAAAATGAAAAATTGGCCTAAAACAATTTAATTTGAAAGATAGCTGGTGAGAATGAATTTTACATAGAAGGGGGCAATATGACAATTATTGACTGGATTTATTTTGTAATACAATTTAAAAATAGTTATATTTTACAAACTTAATCAATTTTACTTACAAGCAAATTAAATTATTATGATAATTTTAGATTTAAAAATTAAAACTTTAAAATTCTACGTCAATGATTATTTTATTCATTATCTATAGTGAAGAAAGATATTTGTTCATTAAATTTGTAATATAATAATAAATAAATTATTAGACGTTGAAAATTCATTTTGCGTAACCCACATACATATCTTGTCGAACTCTCTCTCTCTAGCATTCGTTTGGTCTTCAGTAGATAGCTAAGAAATTATGAGAGATTTTGGGCTGGATCTATTTGACCCGAGAACCGCCGTAATGGACTCCGACTCCAACTCGTCTCCGACCGGCGGCCGTGACCCGGACTTCGGTTTCGCCTTCAACGACAGCAATTTTTCGGACCGGGTTCTCAGAATCGAGATTGTCGCGGATCCACCCGACGCGCCACTGGAGACGGAGGGTTTCCGTACCCTAGCTGATTGGGCCGTCCGCCGGAGCAAACGACGCCGTGGTGATGCTGTGAAAAAGAAGAATGGTGAGATGGTCAAACTTTTAGTCAACTTTCCTGATTTTGCGTGGTTGTTGATTTCTTAATTTTAGGTTTCCTATTGAACTTGTTTATCGGTATGATTGTCTTTATAAATGAATAATTCATTCACAACAACGTACCCTTCATGTTTTTTTCTTATGGAATTCGAAATTATGATGATTGAACTTGGTTCAAATGCTTTACGAAGCCAAATATTGAAGATCAATTTAGCTTTTTTGTTAGATGGGCTTGAGTTATTTGATGATTATTGATGTAATTCTAACATATAGGCTGTTTAATTGCTATGCTTGATCTCTATATTTAATTATTAATCATACAGAAAGTGGTGCCATCGGCAGGGTGAAAGCTTATATTTGATGTTCCTTTTTTCTGTGTATAAGTGTCGTGAGCCATCTTTTTTGAAATTTCGTTGTATCTATGACGCAATGGTTAAAATATAGAATTCTCGACTTTTGAACTCGATATTTTTTGTTTGATATTTGACAATGTCTTTATGTGATGTAATTTTTAGGATGCAACGTTAATAATTACTAATTGAATTATTATCAGCATCATATCTAGATTCTATTCATCGGCCTCCACTAAATGCACGATGTATTCAGATTGAACGGTTCTTGTGTGTAACTGAGTATTCCGTGTTTGTCATCACATTTCTCTAAATATGGCGTTAAACTATTTTCTTTATCATACTAATATTTATATGGCATGAATGAATTTTTGATATCATTTTGCTCATTTTTTTTACTTTTACTCCTTATGCTGGTACGGGTTGTGCTCATAATCAGACATGTACCACTCAATTGCAGCTTTGGATATTACCAGTTCCTCGAGAGAGCAGGTCTTATGTTGTCAGCAGCCAGCTGTTGAAGAAGGCATAGGCGATGAGAATTATGATGAAGAAGAAAGTCTGAAGATGGAAGACTCGCCTTCAGGTATTAATTAACAAAATATAAATTCTGAATGGAATTTTCGTTGATGATGATGATTTTTAAACAATCTATTATATTATCAAATCGTTCATCTTTTTTGACAAAAATCATTTCACGAATTAAATAATTCAAGTTACGTAGAGACTGTAGAAGTGTACACTCAGAATGGGTTTGTCCAAGACTTGATATTAAGTGACATCAGCTAGGCTTCCCGATATGATCTATGGTTGAGTAAAACCTATGAAGTTGCTCAATATTATAAGTAGAAATTGTCTGCAGCATCTATATGTTTTGTATTTTGTGTTTCCGATTTAAATTAGAACCCGTGTCTTGTATGTCATTCAGGTGATGAAGCTGAAAACAGTGATGACTCAAATTGGTCTGAAGACGATTCAAGAATTTTAAGAGTCGAAACGTTACATATAAGCTCTCCCATCTTAGCAGCAAAGAGCCCATTTTTCTATAAGGTACTCTTGCAGTTCTAGTTTTCTGGTTGCTAGTGTTTTTCCTTTTGTAAGAATTGACTTATGAATATTTCGTTCGTTTCATTTTCTTGAAGTTATTCTCAAATGGAATGATGGAATCGGAACAGAGACACGTAACCCTGAGAATTAGTGTTTCTGGTATGTAATAATTAGTTCCATTTTTGTTTCCGAGCATCTTTCTAATTCAAATATCTGCATTATCTCGTATATGTTAACTTAACTCCCTCTATGGAACAGAGGAAGCTGCGCTAATGGAGCTCCTGAATTTTATGTACACCAGTACATTAAATACCACTACTGCACCTGCTTTGCTAGACGTGCTTATGGCTGCTGATAAGTTCGAGGTAGCTTCGTGCATGAGATATTGCAGTCGTCAATTAAGAAACTTGCCCATGACTCCAGAATCTGCATTACTTTATCTGGATCTTCCTTCTAGCATCCTAATTGCTGATGCAGTTCAACCGTTGACCGATGCAGCAAAACAGTTCTTAGCTGCTCGTTATAAAGATATATCAAAGTAAGTTCCACAACTATTATATTAAGAAACCTGATAAATAGCCACCTTTTTAACGAAAAAAACCCAAACTGTGCCTTACGAAACTATTACATGAGCTTCTAATTTCTAAATTAATGAGGTTGAATAATCAATGTTAAAGGGCATAATTGATAAAAACAAACGTAATTTTGCCTTGAATGTGTTCGACTTTTACCGACATTGTGACAGGTACCAAGAAGAGGTGATGAAATTGCCTCTATCTGGAATCGAGGCAATCTTCTCCAGCGACGACCTTCAAGTGGCTTCAGAAGACGCTGTGTACGACTTCATGCTGAGGTGGACTCGAACTCATTTCCAAAACCCAGACGAGCGTCGAGACATCCTCTGTTCTCGTTTGTCTCCCCACATCCGTTTCCCTTACATGACCTGCAGGAAGCTGAAGAAGGTTCTGACTTGCAACGACTTCGATGGCAGTTTCGCAAATAAAAATGTGCTCGAAGCCCTCTTCTTCAAAGCAGAGTCGCCGCACCGCCAGCGGACCTACGCCACAGAGGATTCCACCTCCACGAGCCGCCGTTTCGTCGAACGGGCCTACAAGTATAGGCCAGTTCGAGTGGTGGAATTCGAACAGCCACGCAAACAGTGCGTGGTGTATTTAGATCTTAAACGGGACGAATGCGCGAATTTATTCCCGTCCGGACGGGTATATTCCCAAGCCTTCCACTTAGGCGGACAAGGTTTTTTCTTGTCCGCACACTGCAACATGGATCAACAGAGCTCGTTTCATTGCTTTGGTCTGTTTCTCGGAATGCAAGAAAAGGGTTCCGTTTCGTTCGTTGTCGACTACGAATTTGCAGCTAGGTCGAAACCTACGGAGGATTACATTAGCAAGTATAAAGGTAACTACACTTTTACAGGGGGGAAAGCAGTCGGTTATCGGAATTTGTTTAGCCTTCAGTGGACTAATTTCATGGCTGAGGACAGTCTTTATTTCATCAACGGTGTACTCCATCTTAGGGCTGAGCTTACCATCAAACAGTGAAATCGTGATTCCGAACCTCGATTTCGTTCCGGAGTGTCTGTTGTACTGCTAATTTATTCAACATATATCATTGGATTATTAACATGATAAAACAGAGATTGCAGATGTATGTGTAAGTTACGTGACAGCTATTTTGCTGTAAATAGAATATAGTTTTTTGCAGATATTATTACTATTAAAAAAATAAAAAAGAATATTAATAGGTTATTTAAATATAAAAATGGCAGTTTTGTATGTAGGAAATTAGTAGTCCATAAGGAATAGTAGAGAGGCCCAAATAAGCCCAGTAAATAACAAATTCCAAACTTGTGCCTCAAGGAAAAGAACTCTACATAAACAATAACTTTCTCTCTCCTCTCTCTTATAAATTACAATTGAAAATCCGAAACCACGACTATAAATTGGATAAGAGAAAAAAAAAAAATCAGCTACACGACAGATCTAGGGTTTTAGCTCCGCCGCGATGCCGAAGAACAAGGGTAAAGGAGGGAAGAATCGGAAGAGGGGGAAGAACGAAGCCGACGACGACAAGAGAGAGCTGGTGTTCAAGGAAGATGGCCAGGAGTACGCGCAGGTGCTGCGTATGCTTGGTAATGGCAGATGCGAAACCATGTGCATCGACGGCGTTAAACGCCTCGGCCATATCCGCGGCAAGATGCACAAGAAGGTTTGGATCGCTTCCGGTGATATTGTCCTCGTCGGCCTCCGCGATTATCAGGTATTCTTCACTTCCTGAATTGTTGTATGATTGTATCTGTTATTTGATGAATTCCATTTTTTTTATGCACAAAAGTTGATTTTTGTATCTGTTCGGTTTTTTCCTTCCAATTCGATCAAGTTTTTTATTGGTTTTGTTGTGTTGTTGAATAATTCTGTGTTTTGTGTGCGTACTGTTGGCTATTTGGTACATTTAATTCAGTTTTTGTATTGTTGAATTGTGGTTTGGGCGTTTTCAGATGAAGCTTTGTTTGTGTGTGTTTGTGATTGATGCCGTCAATTTGAATTGATTAACTGAAGTGTTAAATGTTGTTTCAATTTTTACAAATACCGTTTTGGTTTTGTTCGCTTTGGCAAAAGTCAGAATAAGAAAAAAAGTAGTTCTGTAGCTTTCTATTTCAACTTCAATCTGCTTTCTATTCCAACTTGAATCGACTAGATTAGATATGGATGACAAAGTTATTTACGAATGAGTGACATTGTGAATTTTAGATAACTCATAATATCAAAATTATGGACATTGTGCACTCGTTCATGAATAACTTTCTCACTCGACATCCGGTCTTGGTGATTCAAGTTGAATTACAAAGCTAATTAAAAAAAACCCACAACTTCTGTGTTTCGAGTTTTACCAAATTCGAACTAAAAGTTTTTCAAAATCACATTTAAAGTTGAAACTATATTTTTAAAATTGAAAGTTACTTATCACACCCCTTTGATTAATAAATTGTTTGTGAGATTTATCTTGGAGCGGATTAAGGCCTCATTTGGTTGTTAACATGTTGAATACTGGTTTTGTTTAATGCTATATATGTACATAGTTTGGCATTTTGAAATGCTCATCTAATATTATTGGATGGTGTAACTAGGATGACAAGGCGGACGTAATATTGAAATACATGGCGGACGAAGCAAGGTTGTTGAAAGCTTACGGTGAGCTTCCAGACAATACTAGGATCAACGAGAATATCGAACACGACGAAGATGATGGTGCTGGTGGCGACGATTACGTCGAATTCGAAGACGAAGACATTGACAAACTCTAAATGTCATTTATACAAATTCGTATTTATCCAAGAAAAAATAGAGACTTAATTTTATCCTACATTTTGTGGACTGGAATTTTAATTTTACCCTGGGATTTTAATTTTCATTATTATTGTTTCGTAGGATATATTCTCATGATTTTTTTAATTTTGTTATCCAATCCTGGTTGGCCAAACCCTAATGCTGAAATAAATAGAGGCCCAGTATATAAGCCCAGAACTTATAATAAAAGAAAGAATAAATTAATAATAATTAAATAAATAAATCTTTGACGTGTTAGGAAAAGTCGTAAAGAAGACGCAGCTAAATAGAGAGGGTGTAGGATAAGATAATAAATACAAATCGGAAGGGAAAAAATAAATTAATCAGAGAAAAAAGGAGAGCCGTCCGATTTAGGGTTTGTGCTCCGCCGCGATGCCGAAGAATAAGGGTAAGGGAGGTAAGAATCGGAAGAGGGGAAAGAACGAAGCCGATGATGAGAAGAGAGAGCTGGTGTTTAAGGAAGATGGGCAAGAGTACGCGCAGGTGCTGCGTATGCTTGGTAATGGCAGATGCGAGACCATGTGCATCGACGGCGTTAAACGCCTCGGCCATATCCGCGGCAAGATGCACAAGAAGGTCTGGATCGCCTCCGGCGATATCGTCCTCGTCGGCCTCCGCGATTATCAGGTACTTTTCTCCTTTTTTTTTTTCTCCCCAAATTGTAGATCTGGATTTTTTTTTTCTGTCTCCTTATTTAATGAGTTCGATTTTAATTTTTGATTTTGTGTTCTCTAGTATTTTTCCCATTCAATTTGTGTTCTTTATTGATGTTTTTTTTTTTTTTTTTAATCTTGATTTTGTTCATTTCCAATCAGTTGTAATTGCATAACATATCATGAATTAGTGTATTTTTGAGGCTTCAGTTGAATTAGAATTGATGTTTTTCATCAACAGGCTCTTCAAGTAAAAATGCCCAAACTGTAGTTCTGATAAACCAAGATATTTATTTTTGTTCACCTATTATTACTTATTGACAGAGATCAAAGTTTAATATTGAATTGAGCATGTAATTATATTTGAATTTTGATTGGATAGGATGACAAAGCGGATGTGATATTGAAATACATGCCGGATGAAGCTAGGTTACTGAAGGCTTATGGTGAGCTGCCAGAGAGTACAAGGCTTAATGAGGGTATCGCTGGTGGGCTTGACGAAGAGGATGATGGTCCAGGCGACGATTACATTGAATTTGAGGACGATGATATCGACAAACTCTAAACTCTGCTCTTTTGACATGGATCGAGTCTTCTATGTGAAGATCTTTTCTTGCCTTTCAAAAGTTATATTTGTTGCCTCTTGGATTGTTTTTGTGCACAAAATAGAGGGGTGATTTTGTGTGAAATGATGTTCAATCGATGTGGTGAAGCTATATTTGTCGGTTTTTTTTAAATATAATTATTGTACGGCCCTTTTCATTGATGCGATAACGGTGAGCTGCGTTTAAACTGTTTTTGGTAATTTGAATTATCATCATCTGAAATATTGTTGCAATAAAGGCTGACTTGGTTTATTGCTCGAGTATTTGAGCCTAAATTCTACTGCACTTGAGTAAACATTCCAAGTAATCAACACCTTTCGTCTGGGAATGTTCGTCTGAAATAACATGATAGTTACGTGTTTCACTAAAATTTGAGCTTGTGTTTATCATGGTCCCGAAACCAAGAACCCCAAACATTGACCGAACTTGATTATATCGTCTATGAAATCAAATCCAATCCAATCGTAAGTCAAAAAACAATGGCTAAGAGGTGGATACATATCGTATTATTGGCAACCTAATCCGAAAGCATACATCAAAATGTAATCTAAACTGAAGAGATTAGCTTTCCTAACAGTTGCAAACTTGTTCGGCAGCTTCAATTGGAGTCCATTGACAGGAATACTTTCTTCAGAACCACAAACAGCAACAACAACCTCTCTGCCAAAGTGAGATCTCCGTAAGCATTCACAAACATTAGGCGTCGTTAATAATTGAAAACAGTCGGCAAAAGAAACAGGTGAACAACTCTCAAACATAAACTATGAAATAAAAATAGAAGTAATATGTGACATCAAAAACTTTATTTATCCTTTGGGCTTCACATTAATATTTGACAAGCCTAAATTATCAATAGACTGCTCAATATTGTATTGTCCTGCATATTTCATTTTGAGCAGTCAGTTCGAATTCTCGTTATTTGAAATAATATTGACAGTTTATTTAATAATTTCATCAGATATAAGCTAAGAAAATATAATACGCACTAAAAAACGCAACAAGGACTGTGTTTTAAACACTAATATGAATCTTATATAACTGATTGCTCGGAATACTAACATTACTCGGAACGTCTACTCAGATGCCATATTTATAGACCAAATAAGCGAGTTTTACACCAATTCCTATCTGCTTAAAAAACAAAGGACTTGAGTTTACAAACTGAAGTTTCATAACCAAGCAAACATATTCGACAACTTAAAGATTCCATCCGTTATATTTTTCCATCAGATTCAACGGTCGGACAGATTTAGTAGTTATCGTTTATTCTACGAATGATTTTCTCATTTAACATCTTCTTGGATGATTATATAGAACTCAAGAAATAGTATTAAGCATGATGAAACGGCTCAAAAGTATATAACCATGTTGGAGTAGTCAAGTCTCGAATCAATCAACAATTAGTTCCAAACACAATCCACATAAAATATGGTAAACGCCGTCAAAATCATACGAGAATCAAAAAAGTTCAAAACAGAAACAAATAATATCAGAAATCTAACCTAAATACGAATCATCTGAGCTTCCCCTTGATAGCACTCCTTCTTGCCGCCTCGTTAACCTTCTCGATATAGCCTTCGATCGGCGGTGTAAGGGTCGCCATAAACCTATTAATAGGAAAAGGGGTTAAATCCGGGACCAAAGCAGCTTCCTTCAATTCCTCAGGCAATGCATCAATGGCTTCCTTCTTGCACTTCAACAGCATCGATTCTGAAGCCTGCCTTGCCCTATGCTTCCTCATCAAAACCCTACTGTACTCCTTCGCGAGCATTCGCCCATCCTCGACGTTCAGCTCGTATTTCGGAATCTTATCGGCATCTACCAGACCCAATGTGATCAAATCCATACCGGGGGTTCCCATTACGAAAGGCGAATCGAAATCTTTCCCCTGTTTCTTCAGCTTCTGCTTCGCCTGTTCGTTGCCTTTGCTTGTGAGCCCCATTTTCTCTCTCATGGCTTCGCGGGCCTTTTCCTTGGGTTTCAAGAATCTCAACGGTGGAGTGGCGGTCAAACACTTGTCAACCATTTCTTCGAATTCGCTCTTCTTCCGAGGCCCTTCTTTAGCGGGAGCAGCTGGTGCTCCACCTTTTTTTACGGTGACCTTTGACCGTTTCAATGTTTGCCCGGCTTTGATTTTGCCCTTACCCTTTGCTGTACCGCTGACCGAACATCTCTGCAGAAATCGCGAGCTTAAAGAATCCAATGACGAATGCAGGGGCTTCAGTTTCTTCACCACAGTTGAGCTCATCATTTTTGCACTATCCCACAGAAACCCTAATTTCTTCCCCCGAAATTCGTCGCAAATGATGCAAGATCTAAATCCAAATTGAGTGCACAAACAATCCAAACATCAGATATTTATCAACATTCATCACTCAAACAAAAGAAAACAACTCTAATTCACTCATATCTAACAATCAATCCTGTTAGTAACACAAATAAGCAAGCATCGCTATCATTTTCATCCACGAATCTGAAATTAAAATTAAGATTGAAGTATGACATAAACAGTAAAATTAACATCATTAATTGAAAAGATAAAATAAAAAAATCATGTATTTTTAAAACAAGGACAATGGGTCTTCAATGATTTTCCGCAGAAATGATTATCAGCATAAGAAAAACGTAAATAAGATCCGAATAAATAAAATGAAGAAATTTATGGGGGTGGGGGAGGAGGAGATTAAGCGTACCGATGGTGGCGATGGGTGGCGAATCTGAGGTGTGGTGTGGTAGTGCTGAACGAAACCCCTACCTAAAACCTCTTCTGCTATTTTGTAACAATTGTGGGTATAAAAGAGAGTTTCAATATCTTGGGGCCCTTCCTTGTGAAATATTATAAGTTTACAATTCTTTTCAGTTTTGGCCCGTAAAAATTGGTGAGAGTGCGATGTGACCCCCAACAAGTATTTTATTCTCATTTTGATCTTTGACAAGTATTTTAGTCTCATTAACATTCCTAACTTAGCAATAATTATATTCTATTTTGTATCATTTTAAAGATAATTGTTAAATTAGTTTAAATCGGTAACCGCCTTACCAGATCGCGATTAGAGCTGTGTGGATCGCGATCTAGATAGTAGCTATGTATGTCTATGTTTTGAATTGCGATCCGGAGTGCTGATCGTGATCTGTGTCCTGGTATTTTTCTTGTACTCTCAGTTTTGAACCCCCAGATCATGATGATCAGAAATGGTGATCGCGATCTGACATGTACGTCAACTTCAAACAATGTTTTGACCCTTTCTGCAACCCTAATTCAACAAAACTGCATCTCGACACAATTATAGCCCTGGCAGTTGACTTTCTAACGCTACTTGAATCAGCTCAACTAAAAGTCGTATGGAAAAGTTATGCTTGAAATACCAAACACTGCAACAATCCGTCATAATGCACTTTTGTACGTGTTTGTTTTGATTCTTAGCTTCGCTTCCAAAATCATTTCGAAACTGGAATAAAACAAAAAATGCATAATATATACAAATAACGCCGAAAACTCAGACGAACGAAGACCAAAACTCGAAAATTAAACAAGTAAAAAACGTACAAAACGAACATTTATCATAGCTCAACTTGCAAATATTGAGTTGAGCCATTTTTTTTTTATCATTCAACTTTCAGATAGAATCTTTGTATATAAGGATGAATAGAAGGAACAACGGTGTATTTCTCTAGATGGAAACCAGACAAAAAGGTTTACATAGCAAATGGCTTATAAACAAGATGAAGTTTCACAAAACAGAACCAACTCGAAAGTCTGTTTAGAATAAATTACGGCACGTATTATTATTCGAAAACATGACGATGAACGGAAAAAAAAAATACACACATATACGGCCTACTCTACATAAGCATACAGATCGCCTCTTATATATATATATATACAAAATATATATGTATATATATAAGTCAGATTGATCCGAAGTCGAGATAAATGCACAAGTATTTCTGGCATGTCGGATGAATGCGCTTATTCAACCGTTCCAGCAATCTTTTTCTTTAACGCTTCTATGTCCGTGGCCAATTCTTTTCTACTCGACTGCAATAAAAAAATATATAAATTATTAGCATTAAACATCTACAAATAAATAATTGCGATTTCTCAAATGTCGGGATTAAAAAAATTAAATAATGTATCGACGTACCTTGAAAAGAAGGTATCGGTATACAAACCAACCAGTGTATCCAAGCCCAACCAACTCCATGATTTTTGGAAGCTGAAAAACGAGTTTTTACGGAAACAAAGCCAAGTTAATGACACATAATTAAAGAAACACGATTTTTTAATTTTTATTTTATTTTTTATATAAATAAAATGCAAGAACCTACCACAGGGACAGAGTTGATTGCACCGACAACAATGGAAGCTAACCACACTGAAACAACTGCACCACCTCCGTAAAGAAGTACAGTAGACTTGTTTTCAACGGCATCCCACTAAAAAAAACATGAAAACAAGAAATAAAATCAGCAAAAATTACGAGCAATAATATTGGAAAATGCAACACGGTGAAAAACATTAATTACCTTTTCCTTTAGGTCTGTGAACAATTCATTTGCATCAAGAGGGCTCTCGTCTGACGAAGAGGCCTTGACAAGAATCTTCGAAGACCTCCTCGACTCTGTTTCGAAACATCACATTATATTGTTCAAAGCAAATTAATCATTGAACAACTATGCTGAGATAAGAGAGGTTAATGGAACAACGCAAAGTTCAATAATTATTCCGATTTGCATTTCGGAGTATTAATCGGACGTTTTATATCTTTATGAGAAACGAGCATGGGGAACTAGTTGTACGGATGTAAGTGATGATGGTCACATAAGCTTCCCAAGTGACTGAAACTATAACAATTAAATGTGTCGAAGAACTATAAAATATCGACAACTATATTATATAACTTCTTAATATGTAATGAGCTCCCCACATTCGAATCCTTGCTCGTCGAAACCCTCTTTACAACACTACTAATAAAAGTGCCTTTTTCAAGAACCTATTTACTACACTATTTACTCAAAACCCTATTTACTACACTACTAAAATTGATAGCACAAGACAGAAATCAAAGATCAAAACCAGGAATTCCCAAAATAATTCAACCAACCAAGAAACTAACGAATTACAAAAATTAGGTCAAATTTCTCAGATACTAAAAACCAGTAAAAAAAATAAAATTGACAGAATTCAGTGAAATCCCACCATTTTACAGGTCCGAAAACTTCAATTGCACAAGGGGAAGTCAACGAAAGATCAAAATTGAAAGGGGTAAAAAAGTCAAAAGATTGCACCTTTGAGCAGCTTGAACGGAGCGGCGGAGAGTGAAGGACGTTGGGGAAGAGGGCAGAAGACGGCGGTTGTTTTTGCGGCCGGGAGGCGGTGCATCAAGACGGCGGTGGCCGCCATTGAAGTGGAAGCTGCCGCTGCCATTTTTGGCACAGGAAAAAAGAACCTACTGGAATTTGAAAAAAAGAATTGATTTTTTGCAATTGAGGCCTCACTTTCTTGTATGTATCTCTTCTATTTGCAGAGGGGGTTTTCGAAACAAAAATTTCTTGCTATCCACAATATTTTTTCAGGTCAATGCTCAAATGAAACAGGTGGTTGACACGTGGACGAACCGAGCTTCCTGATTGGTTGCTTCTCTATCTTGAAAATCTGTAGTTTGGTTTCAAACTCTTCAAATTTTACATGTTAATTCAGCATACAAAAGAAAAGAAACAAATTCATTTTATTAGGATCTCCACCAATTTAGATATAACTTACAACATGTCTCTTTCCTTGCAAATATCAGAATTATAATCGAATATTCCTTCTTTTATTTTATACCTTTTTCTCATAAAGAAAACTAGAAATTCATTATTCCAAAATAATATATATGTATATATTAATAATAATATATTTTTTTTCGAAATTATACTCATTGTACAAGAAAAAACACTTAAAGTGCGAATTTCCGAATAGTTTTTCACTTTTGATCGAATATAATCACGCACATATACGTGTAATTGTATATAAAATATGTATAACAGTAAAATATACACGTGTGTGGTATAATATTAAGACGAAATCCAACGCTCCATTAATTTCTCATATAGTCGGTGCAACCTCTTTTTTTTCTCAATTATTATTTATGATGAAAATTGTAAGAACCATAATTGTTGCTGACGTCATCATGGGCCTGAATCCAATTTTTTTTAGTAACCAATTCGGCTCTTACCGGGCCGTACGGAGCCCAAAATGATTGGTGTTAAATAATACAAAAAATAAAATATTAATTAATTAATATTTTCCACAAATGAAATATGACCTGCCGTCATATACAATATACAATACTTGCCGAACCCGATTAATACCCACTACCTAAATTAATTATTTCTTTCTATACCCTACTTCAATTAATTACTTTATTAATATCAATAAACACATTTCAATATATAAGCCCATTTGATTAATAACTTATACAAAAATTCAGGAAAATCGAAATTTCAGAAATTGGAAATATTATTCCATAATAAAAAAATTATAAATTGTAATTGATGGAATTCGAAAATTTCTTTCAGTAATAGCTACAAACAAATGCCTAGAAAATGAAGAAAAAAAATGCATAATTAATATATATATATATATAAAATAAAGAAAAGAAATACATAAGTAGTGGTGTATAGTCCATAGTCCAACAAATCCAACTCACACAAATAGAATAAACAAAGTTAGCCAACACCTAAGCACAACTCAAAAGAGTCCCTCTTCCCTCTTTGTTTAAGGCGCCACCCTCCCACTCCTAATTAATTAATTAATTTATTTTTGAATTGAGAATTCTTAATTTCTTACATTTATATGTAAGAAGAATATACTATACAACAACCATATTAAAATAATAAATTAATAACTCCCCTCCTTATGAACAAAACATATTTTCCTTCACTACCATTTTTATTTTTCAGCCATTTTTTGCACAACAAACATTATACATTTCTTGATCTAAACACATCAAGAAAATCGATAAGGGGTCGAAAAAAATAAAGAATCGAAGAAAGGCGAGCTTTCGAGAAGCAAGATCACATCGAAGTTTCTAGAAGGTTAAGGCATGAAGAGGAAGCTTTATTTGTAGTTTTATTGATGGAAGGTTCTAGAAGGAATTGGCTCATGATCATTATTATCATGCTTTGTGGAATGTTGTTATATCCAAAATTTGTTCAAGCCACTGATCAAGATTCGCTAAACTCCGTTATTTACGATTATGCATCCAAGAACATTCCGAAACCTCGTACGGGCAAAATGTACGAGGTTTCTGATCTCCCGTCAAACTTATCCGGTATAGAAGCTTCCATCATTCGTTTGCGAACTAGCCGGCTGTGGAAAAATGGCATAAATTTCACCTCATTCGAAATCCCACCGAAAATACTGCCACAGCCTTTTACAAGGAGAGTCGATATAGTGTATCGAAACCTAGGAAACCGTTCGAGGAATTATTACGGTGTGCCTAATCACACGTTAGTTGCTCCCGTGATAGGATTTCTTGCCTACGACTCCGACGCGGGCCCCACTAACCACGGCCGGCTCGTCCAGCTCAGCGTCCGTGGGGACCACGTTGATGATCACATTATCGTTCGGTTTAGGAATATTATTTCGGTTGTGGGGATGAAGTGTGTGAGGTTTGATAGTAATGGCACGTTCGGATTGAGCGAGTTGACAGTGGAAAGTTCGTGTTTGGCGAGTGGCGAAGGGCATTTTTCGGTTGTGGTTCCTAATTACGATCGGCTGGATAAAAACGAGGAAAAAAGAGTGACAATTAGTCGGTGGATTATTGGATTAATTTTATCCGGGGTGATGGGATTAGTGTTTATTATTGGGGTTATGGTGTACAGATTGGTGAAATGGAAAAAAGTTAAAGAAATGGAGAAAATGTCTGAAAGAAGTGAAGCATTGGATACAATTTGGATTGGCAATAGCAAAATGTTTTCAGCTTCAGGTATTCGAACGCCACCTGTCATCGAGAATACTTACGTTCCTTGATCGGTTTTCGTTTTTCGAGTTACATTTTTTCAAATTTTTTTTAATTAATATATTTTTTTTTTCTTCGTTTTTTCTCTGTTTTGAAATAAAGAAAGATACAATCATTATACATTGAAGGCTGTTAATAAAAAAAAATAGTCGGCTGTTTTTCGATAATCGCCACTAATGGTGTTGTATAATGGAGTGGTGGACCGTAAATCGCATCCCTGGAAATTTCGTTTAATTATATATAAATATATATAATCTTGATTGATTTAGAGCACTCAACCACTGAAGATTCTTTGTCTTATAGTTTTTATAGCGAAAACGATGTTTCGATTCCCTCTAACTATGATGAATTGACAAAGACTCGTTTTAAATATCGAATTACACGAACAAATAAAAAAAAAGATCGTTCGTCGTTCACTTTATTTTCTCCTACATTTAAGAAGTGGTAAAGGAGGATCGAAACAAGAGCCGTTAATAATAGCATTAGCCACAATCTCGTTTGCTGCTTCTGTTGCATGAATTCCATCCCAGCTGACGTAATTAAACGGATCGTTACACGCAGTTGCGGTCAAATTTTGACCGTTGACCAACTTCGTGTTTCCGCAGTAAACTTTCTGGTCGAAATTGTGGGGCCCGCCCCCGTATCCGCAGCACGCTTTTGTCCCGTATTTCATCCCTGTCCGATAAATCGAAACATAATTTAGTAAACTATGCAATTTTTTTATTTTATTTTTTTTCGGAGAACTTTTTTTTAATGTTATGTACCGTAAGACGAAGGGTGTCGAAAGAGGTCTAGCATGACAGAGTGAATATCTGCATATATAATATTTGCATCGATAATATCTTTTCTTGTTTTTATTAATTCTTCGTCGAGCATTAAGTTGTAATCTGCTACGGCATTGTTGTAAGAAACCATGCAACCGAACGAGTCGATATCTGAGGTGTCGTGTGGAAGTTCAACCAAGAATGCAGGGTAGCACCCTATTGGTGCTAGATTTAGTACCAAAAATGTCCTTCCTCCTAATTCATAAATTTCCTTAAAAAATCAGACAAAAAAACATTTAATTAATTAGTACTATTAAGTATTAATCATAAAAATTAATTTATTTTTATTTTTAAACCTTAATAGTGGTAGCAATTTGTGAAACCACTTGAGGTAAATACTGCTTCACACCACTTATGCCAAGAGAAGCTAAGTTCCCTGTGAAATCGTTTTGGCCGATGTAAAACGTGTAAAGCGATTTTCCGAAAATATCCGGTGGAGGAATATTCTTTTCGGCTTGTCCTGCACAAGATTTTTTTTCATATTAAAATTAAGATAAAAAAAGAAAGTAATGCAAGTGCAGAATAGTACTTATGAATGTATATATATGTACCTAGAGAGTGAAGTTCATCAACTTTGGATTTAAACTGCTTCATTTGATTGAGCTGAATTGCAAGAGAAAAAGGGCTAACTCCCGTTACAAATACCGAAGTTTGTGGCAGACGAACGGTTGATGCTAATGTAGCGAAGTTTGCACCGTGTCTGAAATCGGAGCCTATTGATTGCAGATACGGGCTAACAAATGGCAGCCCTAGAGCTTGTGCTGCACAAATCGACGAATTTAGTACTAAGTTCACTTCATCAATTTGCTTAACAACAGACACTAATAACTGATTTCACACATATCATTAAAACATATATACTTGATGATAATTGTTATTTTTCTTACATGTCAAGAAAATAGAAAATATATATATATATATATATATATATATACCTAAAAAGTCGAGGATGACTCTGCCGTCGGTTGCTCGTCCGACCGGTTTTTTGAAGTAAGTCATTCCATAGGGAAGATTTTCCGATGGAAAAGCAGCGTAAAATCCTCCGGTATCGGAATTCGAGTCTCCGAAGTTGAAAATGGCCTCAAAATCACATTCTGCATCACTTTTTTGAGCTGATAAAATTGCTATAACAACTACAAAAATCACTTTTCTTGCTTCAAGATTCATTCTTGATTTATTATTTTTCTTATTTATGGATAGAGATAAATGGTTTGTGGTAATTAAATCTGATAATGTTGAGGGTTATATATATATAAATATATATGCATACATATAGCAGTAGGAAACAAATAAGACTGTTAGCTCTGTAACAGATCACATGGCCAGTAGCAAGCTCTTGTGACCACTGCAAAAACCTTTTTCAGTTTTGAGGCTCTGATTTCAAAGAAAAATTAATTATTATTATTTTTTTTTTAAATATTATTAATCAAGATCAATATTTCATTTACTATTACAACAAAGACTCCTAATTTATCGGTGGCCCCGAAAACGCACACGAGAAATACAAACTAGATTGGACAAACCATGTGCGACGAGCTTGATGCCTCAAACTTGTTCGAGTGATCGACAACTCAGTTCAATTCAGAACGTAACTCTACTATGAGTCTATGACATAATCAATCAACAGTATCAAATTTATAATTATAAGGGTAAATTTCACTTTCCCCTTGGGATATCACTTTACCCCTCCAGTTTAAATTACAAAGGGGTAAAGTGATATCCAGCCAAAGTACGAGGGGGAAAGTGGAATTTACCCTAATTATAAAATTTCAAATCAGAGAGAGAATTAATCGAAACTGAGAATTTAACATTCACAATTTTATTCACGATCCAAAGGATTAAACTATCCACATTTCATTACACTTCTCTTCAGTCAACACACTGATTATTTATTCATGGCTGATTAAACACACACACATACTTCAACCAATAGGCTGGATATCACAGTACTGATTAAGAGCAAAAGAAGGATCAAAGTTTGAGCCACTAAGTATGGAATAAGCCACAATCTTGTTAGCAGCTTCAGTCAAATGAATCCCATCCCAGCTCACGTAATTCTGCGGATCGCTACAAGCCGAAGCCGTCACTGTTTGACCGTCGACAACCTTTGTAGCTCCACAAAACACTTGTTGGTTATAGTTGTACGAACCGCCACCGTATCCGCAGCATGCAGTTGTCGCATGTTGCATCCCTATTTTAATTTCCCAAAAAAATATATAAATAAACATTAAAGGAAAAAAAGATCGATATTTGGATATAGGGTTATTCAAGAAAATGTATGTACCGTGTGAAGTGGGGTTTCGGAAAAGGTCTAGAATAACGGAGTTTGTGTCCACGTAGATCACGTTTGCGTCGTGGAGTTCTTGCCTAACTTGGGAGAGAGCTTGCTTGAGATTCTCGTTGTAATCGTTTACTGCGTTGTTGTATGACATCATGCATCCGGAAGGATCTATATCCGAGCCACCCTGTGATTGTTGCACCAAGAATGTAGGGTAACAACCCACCGGAGCTAGGTTTAGGACCATAAATGTTCGCCCTCCTAGCCAATAGATTTCCTGCATGCATGCATGCATCCAATAGTTTGATCAATCCAATATATGTTTGTTGCTTGTAGCGTGAAATATTTATGTAACATATATAATCAGTGGCGAAGCCAGAATTTCATCTACATGCAGATTATTCAGTAAGTAAAAATTTGAAAGATACTATAAGCGGTGGGGGGGCATGGCCCCCCATGTTAGTATAGTGGGCCCCACCTTGATGGCGCTAACGATTTGGGAAATGATTTGTGGCTGAATTTGCTTGACACCGCCGGGGCCCGCCGAGGATGCGTAGCCAGTGAAGTCGTTTTGGCCGATGTAAAATGTGTAGAGCGATTTTCCGAATACATCCGGTTGAGGAAGATTGGTTTGTCCTACAAAGATTGAATTTTTCAGAGGGTTTTTTTTATTTTAAAGGTTGTTACATGTAAGAAGCAAAAAACTAAAAAACATTTTTTGTACCTTGGGATTTGAATTCTTCAACTCTTGCCTTGAAATTCTTCAGTTGGTTGATCTGGACAGCCAGATAAAAGGGGCTAACACCGGTGACATATAACGAAGTGTTTGGCTGAAGAACCGTCGAAGCTGACGTGGCAAAGTTGGCCCCGTGTCTGAAATCGGATCCAATCGACTGCAGGTATGGGCTCAGAAATGGCAATCCCAAACCTTGTGCTGCATTAGTTCAACAAAATAAATATTAAAAACAAAACATTAATTTCATCAAAAAAAAAAAGTAATATAAACATATATAATACCTAGGAAATCGATAAAGAGACGGCCATTGCTAGGTCGGCCAGTCGGGCGGTTAAAGTAGGTCATGCCATTGGGAGAAGACTGAGATGGAAAAGCGGCAAAAAAGCCACCGGTGTCGGAGTTCGAGTCACCGAAGTTGAAGATCGCCTCAAACGCGCATTTTGCATCACCCCTTAAAACCATCGCCGCCATGACAACCACCACCACCAAAGAAACCCTAAAAATTGCACCTTTTTCATGAGAAAAATGAGCCATTCTTGAAGACTTGGTGTATATTATATTGCTATAGAGAAAAGTGTGAGATGGAGAAAAATTGATTGAAGTTGGCTAGGTTTATATAGAGGTGGGATTTGTGTGAAGAAGCAAATTGCTGCAAGAAAGCTCGAAATTTTCGTGATGAAGATCAGCTCAAGAAATGGTGACAAAGAATTAAATGGATGTTTATACAGATGTCCGATGAAGCAAACGTTTGGTAAATAAGGGCTAGGGTTTAATGCATGGCTACGTACGTAATTGAATCTGCAACCACTATGACATAATATATGGACAAACAATACCGATGAAGAGATCAAATTAAGAAGAGGAAGAAGCATTTAATTTATATTATATGGTAGAAAATAAGATGACAAAAATTGCCACCAACTTGTTAGCTAGGCCATTAATATATATATATATATATATATATATATCCATGCATTTTTTTTATTATTTTTTTGTGATTTATAAGCAAATATATCTAATATTCATGCACTTCTTTAATTTGCAAATTGCAATGTAGCAAAATGTGTAGAAATACTTAGAATTTTGTATATTTTCGATTTTCCACCTAAAAATCGTAATATGTCGACCATCAATAAAATAAATTATAACTAGTTTGTATCGAATCCATTTATAAACGTTTTCTAGATCGAGTTTGTGACATATGGTCTGCGTCTGGTGTGACTTATGTATCTCGTGCAATTTGCAATTTACTGCACAAGAGTGGAAATTTACTCAATACAGCTATATATTTATTTTGTAGCTTTAATTTTTTAATAAATTATTATAAAAATTAGGGGTTATTTTACATACCCCTAGCCACCAAATAAACTAGTGATAAATCCAAACCCAAATCATCCTTTGATATACCCCCTGGAGAAGCGAAAGTACTATACTACCCTTATATGCAATTTTCGGCCAAACTGCATTCAGCATTTATGGTCCTGCATTTATCATTTTCGCTGATTTATTTATTATTATTTTCCTTTTTTTTTTTTTAATAAACCTGTTTGTTAAATATATATATATATATATATATATATATATATATATATATATATATTTAATTTTTTTAATTTTTTTTTTGAAAAAAAAATTAATTTTTTTTTAACTCTTTTTTAATTTTCAAAACAATATGTTTACGGTACTGAAAATAACTACATGTAACTATAGTACCTATAGTACTTTATAGTTATGTTCGTTTTTTTTCCCCATATTTTTAGTCGATCAATTGTATACACACACGAATACTGACTTATACAAAATAAATTCATAAAACCCCAACAAAAATTTACAAATTTCAATATTTTTATTATAAATTACATCAGAACCAATAAAATACAAATCGAAAATACACAAATATACTCATATGTAACTACATGTTTCTATAGTAATGTATAGTAATGTACAATAATGTATACAATCTATTGAACAAATCAGATGTAACTTCAAAAAAAAAAATTGACACCTTCAAGGAAAGGATCAATGGCCTTCATTAAGCTGCAATAGCAAAATCAAAAACAAAAAGAAATTATTTTAGTGCAAATCAACAAAATTTGAAGAAAAACATCAAAACACTCAAAAATCAACAAACACTAAGAGATCGGGAGATAGAGAGAGAGGTTATTGCTGGGAAATGCTACAGATTTTAAATCAAACATACAGTGACTCCTCACCCCCCTCGCCTCCTACCAAAACCGTAGACGCCGCTAATAACCACCCACGGTTCCGCGCGCCCACAAATGCAAAAAAATATAGAAATAAATCTGAAAAGATAAAAATAAACGAAATTACCATCAAAATATAGATCCCGACGAGAGGAATCCAACGGTGGGTGACCCTTCAAATTTCGACGGGTGGAACACAAAATAAAGCTCCGACAAGACCACCGTCCTCGAATGAAAAAAAATTGCAGAAACATATCCGCGCTCGAAACTGAATGAAATAACCACCAAAAGAAAGAGCTCGACGAGAGGAATCCAACGGTAGTTAAACCATCGAATTCCGACCACCGGAGAGAGAGTTATGGCTCCGGGAAGCAATTTCGCCGGTGAGAGGTTTGTAGAGGCGGGATTTTGAATCTGGGAGAAGAAGAGAGGGACTGTGAGTGGCTAGGGTTAAAACTGATTTTAGAAGGTTTTATAGGAACTTCAGGGTAACCCAGGGGGTATGTGGAAATGAGGGAGGTTTACCCTAGAGTATAATCCACTTGGTAGTTAGTTCTATATAATTTGGAAATGAGGGGTGTACAAAATAATCCCTAAAAATTATTAGTGCAATGTTTGGGCCTTCTTCTAGTGAACATTTTTTTATTTCAGTGGGCTTGACTCTTGAGCCCAAGATTAAAACCCATATATATACATTTTCTATTTTTATTTTTTCCTTTTTCTTTTATAAGAAAAGGAATTTAAAAATTTAAAAATAAAAAATAAAAGAAAAGGAAAAAGTAGTTTCCACAAAGTCCACGTCAAAGCATGGGGCGCGTCGACATTTTCACATGGGCGTGGTAGACTAATAGTAACCCCCGATGCGTGACACGTCACCCCATCACCACTGATTATCCTCCCGCCACGTCCTCTCTTTGTCCACCGCAAATCACGCATCTCCGTCCATTCCAAAAGCAAATCCAACGGCGTCCAGAATCCTGACGTGGCAAATGCCCCCCTCTCACTGACGTCACCCCCCACCCACCTATCTTGCGTGGGAAATTCCCTCTCAATTTCCTGGCCTTCATTTGCAATTTCCCCTTTTTATTTATAAATATATTTTATTTTTAAATAGTTGAAAAATGCAGCTTGTACAAAACGACAAAGGTAATAAAGGTCAATCACGTGCTATGCGCCCACGTGGATGATACGTGGGTCAAGCCAGGGCATCCATCTAGAAGGACGTGATGTATGAGCTGGCACTGGCTACAATGTGGGCCCCACATCCCCACCAAATGCTGAGAGCCGTTGTGGGCTGGACACCTCAGCTTGTGGACCGGCGTCGTTTATTCTGGGCCCTCTTACATCGAACGATTTTTTATCGACGGTGTTTATTGTGTGTTTATTGGCTATTTATTTGTATAGATCCATGGCGCAAAATTCGGCTCGTGTATTTTAGTAAGTGTAGCATCTATGATACTCTCGATTTTATTTTCCATTATTTATTTGTTTGTTTCATCATTTTTATTTTTACTTTTTGCCCATTATTACTTTGAATCTTTGGTCAATTTTCTCTCTTGTCATATCTCTTTGTAAAATGATTTTTTGATTTGTTATATTCTATTTACAAATGTCACTATCTAATTTTGAAGTCAAAAGAATATAGAACAAATTAGTTAAGCCTTAACTTCTACCTTTATTCAAAATTTAAACATTAAAGTTATTAAAAAGAAATAGGGTAAATTACTGATCGCTTCCTGGAGATAAGGTTTATTTACGAAAAAAAGTTCTTATTTACTGATATATGTAATTGGATCGGTTCAATGGGTCTATAATTTTTAACTTTCTGGGTCACGAGCCCAATATCGAAGACCACTTCAGCTGAGGCCGAATCACCTTCAAATAAGGTTAGGATCCGACAATTACAATCAATTAATCCCAGCCCAACAAGTTAAGTAAGTCTAAATAAATGTTGTAAGTTGTAACCCATTTGTTAAGATACGTTCATACGTTCAATAGTCTAGCAATACGACTCTTTGAATTTTCTCTACAACCCTTCCGTCGGATAATTTCTATCTTAATTTACGTGTACTCTGATCGCAGGTGTCTCGGAATCATCCAACTCGTGCGCCAGTGATCCACTTTGCTCTTTCAACTACATCAGGCGATCTATTTCTATAATATTATCACTTATATATAATTTCATTAACATCATTTTACCGGGAGATTAAAGAAATTTACAAATCGAAAGGAATTGGAAAAAAAGATTATTTTAGTTAAGGATGTGATTGTAATTTATCGAGAAAAAAAATATGACGTAGAATCAAAGATTTGGCCACATACTCTACTAGTTGAATAAACTCTCCCAATCGTCACACGTCACATAAGTGGGGAACCAAAGATTTGATTTAATTGGAAAGGATTTGGCCTAAGTCTAGTGATGAGTCATCCGGGGAGGACACGTGGCTCTTTCATGATGAAAGTGGCGTTTGGAAAATAATTTTAGAATTATATTATTACAAAAATAATAAAGTGAAAAATGTGGAAATCCGATGAACCGGAGAGGGCAGTGGTGCGTCAAACACGGAGTGCTTTTCCGCGTCGGAGAGTGTGTCTCTTCTCTCACGCATGAGCTCTTTCTTTTATAAATTAATAAAGATGTCTAATTATTATTAACCATTTTGTTTAAATAAATTTTAAAAGCTTATAATAAAAAATTGCTGATTAGCATATAAGATCTCTTTTTAAAATACACTCCACATTTTTATTCAAGATCTTATTATGAGCAAAAATAAGTTATAAGTTGTTTAACCAAACACTTTTAAAAAGTTTATCTTAAAAATAAAAATGTAAGAGCTTATCGACTCTTAAACTGACTTATGAGTTATGAGATGTAAGAGTTTATTAGATTTTCAAAATTATGTGGATCAACTAACTCATCTTATATATACTCATCTTATATATGAGGGCTAACATAGTTCTAGATTAATTAGGATCAATTTATTTATATAATTTAAAACCATACTTAGGCCTTAATCAAACTAATCTATGGGCTCGTTTGGTTAGAAAGATTGACCATTATTAATTAAATAGTTGAACTTTGTTTGATGTTTGGTATTCCCAATAAGTTGGCGCGTCAGCCCGTAAATATTATATTATCATTATTTATTTTGCCTTCTAGAAATATCTTTTTGTTGGGCTTTTCAAGATTCAACTATACAATTAAATTTAATTAAATTATTTAATTTTATCTTGACAACCAGACGATGCCTAAAGTAATTTCAAAATTCACCTAAACAAAGCCCAACAATTGTCACAATACAAACATGACTAAGCCGGACAACACGCGCCTCCATTTGGTCCATATAAAAGCAAGGGCAATAAAGTAATAAACTAAAAGAAATGGGAAAATTGTTTCTACCAAACAGGCCTTACATGGTAATAGAGCTTCCGGGCCCATTTCCGGAACTCAAACGATCCATAAAATCCAGTTAATTCCCCGATTTTATTTTAAATTCATTAAATTAATTCGCTTGAGAGAATAAGAACCAACACGTCACCCACATGCCTGTTGGTAGTATTAGTTGGCTAACAACACCCCGCGTAGATCGGGTCGGCAGCAAACACGTGTACGGTTACAGATGACGTTGGAATAAATATTATTCAGCCAGCGCAAAATTTTAGTGCCAGCTCACCACCCCCACCCCCCCACCCCCCACCCCCGGGCTTTTGACAACTTTTTTCAGGACTTTTTCTTTTTCTTTATTAATTAAAATAAGTAAATAAATGCTTGGCCAGCACATAAGTTGAAGTGTTGAACTCATTTTATTTTCTCCTCCACTTGTTAATTTTTTTTTATCAAATAATATATTTTATATATGTGTAAAATGATTTTGAAATAATTTTTCATAACCTTAACCAAAATAGTGATTTGAAGTCTCAATTTTTAAAATAATAATAATAATAATAATAATATATTATTATTATTATTATTAAAATAATGCAAGAGTAGATATAAATTCTTTTAGCCTAAATATATTATGTACAAGAATTCTTTTTTTATTTTCCTCTTAAATAAAATATTTATATCAATATCATTTAATTAAATTTCACAAAATTAAATGACTTTTCATTTAATTTGCCCCATTATATATGACTTGGAAAACAGAAAAAAAGGATATGCACAAATTAAATTATCCGAAGGTCATTCATAAATTGGAAAATAAAAAAAAGGAAATAATAATTAATTGAAACAGTATCTAAATAATCTAAGCGAAAATATATTAAATAAATTTTGCATATCTTTTCACAATACATAGGAAATATACGACCAATATCGACACAGGGACACGTGTTGCGTGACGTGGATTGTTGCCTTGGCGTCCGTCCGCCCTCTCTCTTCTTCTTCATTCTCTTCTCTCTCTAAAACTTCACAGTGCCAAAAGGACACCTTTAGAGAGAGAAAAAAAAAATGCAAGCAGTTTAGAAGCATAAACATGTTCCGAAACTCTTAATTCCGTTCCCTAATCTCCATTTTACGAGGTATGATTAACTTAATTTCTGTGTCAATTCCTTTTTTTTTATGGAGTGTTGTGCAATTATTATTTGCTGATCACCTTGAATTATCTACCAATTTTTTTTATTTTTTTTTAGGTTTAAATGTTGATTTTGACATTTTATTTTTTTAATTCGTTCGTTATTATTCCGAGAGAAAATTTATATATTTTAAAAAACTATTCTGCGGGGTTCCTTTTGCCAAATTCTGATTAAAAGCAATGAGGAATTTTAATTTTAGGTTTGTAATGATTGAATTGCGGAAGCTCTGATTTTTTATTTAATTTCTCAGATTCACAACAAATTTGTGCAATTCGATTGATAGTTTTCACAGTTTTAGGTGGCTGAATCGCTTAATTCCCTGTTTTCGAGTTTTCGAATTCTACACGAGGATAAATTTGTCATTACTGAGTAGTTTTTGTTTAGAGTTTTAGACCCCCAAAGCAGTAGATTGTCGTTGTACTGCTGTGTTACAGTACCGGCCATCGGGGTTTGGGTGTGAGAGTGAAAAGACGAGAAAGCCCTTTGCCCTCTTCCTCTTTGGGTGGGTGGGTTGATACTTTACAACCCTGACCCGGTTATGTATGGACTTCGGACTTTGGAGTTTTGGGGTTTTCTTTTCTATGTGGACCTTAATTAGATTTTCTCCATTATTCAGTTTTGAATTTTAGTGAAGGAAAAGTACCAAGGAAATAGTCTCTTAATTCTTTTTTTTTAATAGTATTTAAACATAATAAAAAAAAAAAATTCGTTTTTGTGTTTTTTGTATTTCCGTGTAATTTAACATGATCAAAGGGATTTTCAGATTGATGTTTATGCTGTTCTGGGGCGATTCGTTGATGTTATTAATATTAAAAAAAAAAAAATTGCTTTCTATGACATTGTCTCTTACATGCATTTTCACCTGGCAGAACATTGATACTTGCCATCTTATTACCTGTCGTTTTGCGGAAGACTAAAACGCCCTCCTGAACGTATCATGGGAAGCAATGAAGAAGCGAAGCCTTCGAAGGCTGAAAAACCATCTTCACCTGTTACGGTGAGAATTCAAGAATTTACATTGTAATTTAAGAATCTTGTTTCCTTAAATGGCTTAGCATTTTTTTTTGCCCGATCGGGCCTCCAATTTCTTGTCTTTATCACACTTGATATATACAACTGCGCTTTGGATATACATATTTCGTTTTTCATAAGAGATCATTAAAAATGTTCATTTTCTGAGGGAGTTTTCAATGTCTTCCACATTAGCAGGACCAAAATAACAGCGTTCATGTGTATCCTGATTGGGCAGCAATGCAGGTGATTAATTCCGTCCTTAATAAAACTTCTCTCGTGCAAGAAAGTTTTCGTTATGACATTTGAGGGTTTGTTAATGACTTTTAATGGTCATTACCGATAATTATTCTTCAGGCTTTCTACGGTCCGCGATTTGCTGTGCCACCATATATGAATTCAGGTGTTGCTTCTCCACACGCACCTGTCCCTTACATGTGGGGTCCGCCACAGGTATTGGAGCAAATTTCTTGTCTATTTGATTTATAATGTGCTTAAATTAACTTTCGATTCAGAATAATATCTTGAGATGAAGTGTTGATTTTTTATTGATTTTTCTTCAGTCCATGATGCCTCCTTACGGGCCTCCATATGCTGCATTCTATGCTCATGGAGGAGTTTACGCACACCCTGGAGTACCTGTAGTAAGTCTTTTTTCACATGCATTCGAACGTGATTTCTGGATAAAAATATTAAGAAATATCAATAAAGATTTCAATGAAAATATTTGATAATTGCCTATGCGATTATGTAGGCTAGTACTGCCCTGAGCATGGAAACACCAGTGAAGTCACCGGGGAATACAGATGGAGGCTTTGTGAAGAAGCTGAAAGAATTTGATGGGCTTGCCATGTCAATTGGCAATGGAAACGGTGACAGTACTGAACATGACACTGACCGTAGACTTTCAGACAGGTACTTTTTGATAATCATTGGAAATTCGAACAATCTGTCTTAGTACCAAAGTTGAAGTTAATGACATGTTTAGTATCATTTTTTGTTACTAAATCTCCGACTTTTGTTTTTCATTAATAGTGAGGAGACGGATGGTTCCAGTGACGGAAGTAATGGAGTTACACCCAGGGTTAGGTTTTTTAATTTTGCAGAAGTTTCCTGTTTCTTGGTTACTATAATAATTTCCTTATTTAACAGTATCGTTTCCCTTGTTTGTATGTTTACGTTCGATTAGGCTGGTCAAAATGGCAAGAAAAGAAGTAGACAAGGATCTCCTAGCAGTGGTAAGCTGTTACATTATTTGTTTCGTCTTTCCCTTAGTAGTTGGTTTCTATTTTTGTTCGATTTGTCTGATAATTTAAACTCGTGGTAATAGGTGATGGCAAAGCTAACAAGAAAAGCAATTTAGTTACTGCTGTGGAAGTCGGTGAAAAGACGACAGATGTGATTCCTTCTGCAGTGAAAACAATGGAGAATACGAATACTGCATTAGAACTGAATGATCCTTCCCAAAATGTCAAGTCGAGTCCGACTAATGCTCCACAGCCACTAATGCAAAATGTAAGCTGGCCACAGGTGTGTTCTAGATCAAATATTTTTTGTTTTTATTGTTCTTCCTTTGCATATTTTTTCATAAACCGAGTTCAATTAAGCGAAATATTCTCGAGAGTACACTACCGTTTTCTAAACATTGAAAAGAACTCAACTTTTGACTGGAAGATCACATGTTAACATATGATGGATCAAAGCTCGAATGAGATATCTGCATTGTATAAATTTGTAATTCTTTCGGGTGCCTATTAACTAATGAGTTGAACACGTATTTAAAAAAAAAATCTATCTTTCTGCTCACAGAACGACCGAGAGCTGAAAAGAGAGAGGAGGAAGCAGTCCAATCGAGAATCTGCAAGAAGATCAAGACTGAGGAAACAGGTACGTATAATATACACCACATCAAAAAATACAGCCTTTGCGTAACTTTTCTAATCTCCTTAAGACATTTTTTAAAATTTATTTTTCGTTACTGAAGGCTGAGACTGAGGAACTAGCTGTCAAAGTTCAAGCACTAACAACAGAGAACATGACCCTCAAAGCCGAGATAAATAAATTAATGGAAAGCTCCGAGCATCTGAAGCTCGAAAACACTGCACTCGCAGTATGTTTCCATATTCTTCTATTTTATATTTTCTTGATTTATAGCCCACCACAAAAATCATAAATAAATAAATGGGTGCAATATTTGTAGGAGAAATTACGAGGCGCCCAAGTGGAGCAAACAGAGGAAGCAAATCTTCACAAGATTGACGAACTGAGAATGAAGCCAGTCGGCACAGTGAACCTTCTTGCAAGGGTTAATAACAACTCCGACGGTGAACCGAAGCTTCATCAGCTTCTCGATAGTAACCCTAGAACGGATGCCGTTGCTGCCGGCTGACTTTGACCGTTATTTTGCATCGAGGTCCCGTAACTTTGGCATAATTAATTACAAGTTTCAAAGTTACTTCTAACAAAAAAAGTAATAGAGAGTGTGTGATTTGGTCTCGGCGAAACCTGGAATGTATTTTAAATGTTCGGATTGCTGGGAAATGATAAAAAGAAACAGATTAGCGTCGTCGTCCGTAATTTAGATAAATTGTATACTTAAGAAAGTGTCTAATTTTATGTGGTTTTTTGTGCAAGAACAACTTTTGATTTGATCTTGTGTTACTTGGTTATTATATAGGGATGATGTTTGTGTTGGTACGAGGAAATGTATTATGTTGTACTGATATGTAAACTTCTGTGTTGGCTTAGAAGGAACAGTGCTATTATATATATTTGGAGTTGGCTTCAATTTAATTTGTGTTGGCATAAAGTCAACGATTTGAGGTTGACTTTTTCTTGGAGTACGTGGTGGAAGAGCCAGCTGGGCACGCTGCTGTCGCACGTGATTAGCATCAACTTGCCCAGCTTTGTTGGCCACTCCTCGTCACGTGATCTTTATTTCGTATTTTTAACTATATATATATATATATATATATATATATATCTTTTTTTTTTTTTGCTTCAATCAAGAAACTATGCTTAATAAATCACAAAATGTCGAATTTCCAAAATGAATTAAGTGTAATTTTTTTTAATAATATTTGTGCTTGAATTACGTCCTGACTAAAATTTCGGATGAACGACGATTCGCAATCTAGTGCAACCTGAGAAAATTTACATGCTTTTTTTGTTATATAATTTGAAGAAAAATATTACCTCAATTTGACAAAAAAGTAAAAAAAACAAGATATCAAAATAATTAAATTGTAAAGATATTTTATTTTTCCAAGACAGAAATGGGGACTACTGCAATATGTCCACCAATCAAAAATCAAATCTTGCCCTCTTTCAATAATAATAATATAGTAGCACTTCATTTTTTTTGAGGATAAATTACAAACACACCCTGAGGTATGGTCAAATTATAAAAAACCCCCTCTTGTTTGGATAATTACATCAACCCCCTCAATTATGATTTTTTCTTACACCTCCACCCTTATGGTGCCAAATTCAACATAATCATCTAGATTCCGTGAAATTTGCTCTAGTTTGTACTCAATTTGTGTAAAAATACAGTTTTCGATGCACCAAAAACTGATATATACAAGCTAAAAATCACATATTATGATCATCTTGCTTCATAATGTAGAGTTTGAATGAGATAAAACAGGTACAAAAGTGATAATATTCCATATAATCTCGAAGATTTCACTAAATTTGAGGAGTTGAGGGGGTGGTTGTAATTATCCAAACAAGAGGGGTGTTTTTGTAATTTGACTATACCTCAGGGGGTGTTTGTAATTTACCCTTTTTTTTGACCCACCCGAATTCTTGTCGACCCGTTTACTCTTTCAGTTGCAGAGGTATGGTTTCCGGGGATCACTATTTCAAATCCCAACTTTTGCTTACTTGAATACCGAAAAAATAAAAAATAAATAATTAATTGTAAATTACTTTAATACCCTTAATGAAATTAAAACCAAAAAAATATTACAAATACTATTTTTCTTTCTTAAATACCAAATAATCAAAAACTCAAAAAAAACCATTTCCCTCCTTCTCCACCTCCTTCTTCTCCCTCCCCAAAAACCCTTTTAAAAAATCTTCCTCACAACAAACCCTTCTAAAAAATCTCAAAACTAAAGAAATTAAAACCTCACAAAACGTATAAAATTGAGTTATAAGACAATAATATGGTAGTATATATGAAAGGAGAACACATTAAGGTAAGTATCGATGTCTTTTTTGAGCTTCGAAGTCGATTTTGAAGTTTTTTTTTTTGAAACCCGCCGGCAATTTTCGACACATACAGGTCGATTTTTTGGTCAATTTTCGACACCAACGTGTCGAAAAAAAAGGGTTTTTTGGTTTTTTGGTCAATTTTTTGGTTTTTTTTTTTTTTACAACAAAGGGTTTTTTTTCTTTTTTTTTTTATTTGGTTTTTGAATAGGTAATTTCTAAAAAAATTTGATATAATTGATATTTTGTATGAAAGGGTGTTTTTGTACTTTTCTTTTTATTTTGGTATTAAAGTAAGAAAAAACTGATAAATATGTACTCAATTTTGGTTTTAAACTTGGTAGTATTCAAGTAAGCAAAAGTTGGGATTTAAAATAGTTGCCCCCATGGTTTCCTTCAGTTCTTTTCCCATGTGCATCAACACTTTTTACTAAGGGGGGTGCTAAATCCCACACTAAAAGTTACTAAATCCCGCACATAAATAAAAAAAATTCTCTCTCTACAAAAAAATATTCTCTCTCTAGGCTCTATTTTCTCTAACTTCTCTCTAACTTTTTTCTATGATTTTCCACACTAAAATTTACTAAATCCCACATATTAATAAAAAAATATTTTATCTCTACAAAAAAAAAAATTCTTTCTATACGCTCTATTTTCTCGACTTCACTCTAACTTTTTTCTAGGATTTTCAAAATACTAAAAAGTCGTCAAAAGTCGTTTTTTGTTACGTAATTACATCAACTAATGAGTTCAATACCTTTTAACTTCAATCGGATGTAAGATTTTAATTTTTTTGCCAAAAAATCGTCATAGGCAGAGGGCGGACAATCTAGAAGACGAAACAGATAGCGCGCACATGTTGGGCGTGCAATACACTGTATTCGCGTTCAATGTGGGCGCCGTCTTTCATGCGTCCGCTTCTACTTTAGATGCTATTCGTTTTTTATATTTTATATTTTATTTTTTTTAAAATTAGTTTTTGTTATAATTTATTTATTTTTCAGGATAATGGGGAAGTTCATTATTCAGAATATTTTCGAGGGGTATAATTGTTTAATTGTAGAGACGATCTAATACAGTGGGCGAGAGACACAGCTGAAAGCCATGATATTAAGCTAAGTATAGGTCATACTTTTTGTGATATGGTATACGTTACATATGATCGGTTTGGGAAAAAAATAGGTGAAACGAAAGAATAGAGATATAGAAAGTACAATATGTTCTGATACAAAAAACTGTAATTGTAAATCTAGTTGAAGGGAGTTCTACAAGCAGATGGTAAAATGGATACTCTTTATAATTTACGGGAAGCATACTCATCCTCTGACTTCGAAATATAGTCTCATAAACAACTCTCGCAGAAGCATTATGAAGTTACCGAAATGTTTAAATATTTATTAAAATTTATTCAATATTTATTAAATATTTATTAATTATTAAATATTTATTAAACATGCATTCAATATTTATTAATTTTTTTATTATTTAATTCGAAAATATTTTTAACATTTATTCACTATTTATAAAGTATTAAAATTTGTTAAAATTTTATTAACATTAAATATTTATTACAATATTTAAGAAATAATTAAATTGAATTGAATTAGAAAAAAAAAACAAAAAAAAAAAACAAAAAAGAAAAAACAAAGAAACAAATCTATTGCTTCTAACCCAGCCGCCCACCCCCCACCCCAAAGAAAATCCCACACACGCTGCTGGCCTGCCATGGACGTCAATCTCATAGCAGACAGAGCTCTCTCTCTATCACCATATACCACCTTCCATAACAAATAAAGTAATTGAATTCAATTAAAAAAAAAAAAAAACTTATGGTGCTGCAATCTGGCGTGCCTCCACCCAAAAAAAAAACCCTCTTAATTCGAAGAATAAATTTGAGACAAAATGATAACCTTGATTGTAGAATAAATTAGAGAAGATTTTCTTCAAGTTCGATTCTCGGATTATTGTACTAGTTTTATGATTTTTTTTTACAAGTATGATTTTTTTTTACAAGCGTGAGGGGGAAAGAAGAACTTGTTTGGGGAGAGAAAAAGATAGACACGTTTGGGATTTTAGAGAGAGAAAGAAATTTTATTATGTGCATGATTTAGTAATTTCCGTGTGGGATTTAGCATTTCAGTTTAGCATTTCAGTTTTACTAATCACATAAGGGGTAGAAATGTAATTTACTGAAAGATAAAAAGCATGCCATGCACGTGACCTTTTTCCCGGCTATTCATGTTTCAATTTTAATATCATCCCCAATTGGGAAGCGGTGGCTGAGTGCTCACAAAAGCTTCGGTTTGCTCATTTTTGGGAAGTTGTACATTTCGCCCTATTTTTTTAATGGTGCTTTGATTGTTGTACATCAAATCCCGGCGCATTTTAGCGTACCACGTACACCTGTGTTGTACAACTACCTGTACGTACACGTATCCCTCCTCCTTCCTTTGTACATCAAAGGTAATAAAAAAACTCCCTTTTTAATTTTTTTTTTAATTAAATAATTCAGATGAATGTTTAATTATTTAATTCAGCCCATGTTTCCACATTCCTGCTTGTTCCGTTACTAATTTAAATTATTGATTTAAGTAAGTCAAATTTTAATGCTTAATTAAATTTTCAAGATTGCATCACACTTTCATTTATGCGCACTGCACTGTACACTGTGTGTATGAAAAGTTCAGATTTTTCATGATTATTTCTTTATATAGTTTTGATTGATTGCTGCATTTCTGTTTTCTTGAAGTGGGCTTTCTTGAATCTGAATGCTTTATCATAAAGATTCTAGCTTTATTGCTTAGTTACTTCAGTTGGGCTTTATTTCAAATTTGAGCAACTGTATGAAATTTCTTGAATTAGGCTGATTTTATAGTGTTGTGGGATTTTGATTCTAATTGGGAATTGGGTATTTAATTTTAAAAAAATTGTATTTTTTTTTAAGGAGTGGGGAGAGGAGGGTATTTCTTTGTCAGATTTTCCGATTTTCTTGAATTTATGTAAACTTTCGGATATTTATTCATCTGTAACGTATTTTCGGAAGTTTTCGAGTCAAGTGATTTCCTGAATCTGAGGGTCTAAAAGTGAGGGACACATTTGAAAAATTTGCAAAATTTGGTTATAAATTTGCTTAGCTGGCTAGCGATTTTCGTCACAAGAAAAGCCGTATCAGATAGTTCGATAATTAGCTGTCATTTCGACATATGTATTTTACGGCAACGGAATTTATCACATCCAAGAATTGGGCTTATTTTGCAACTTGAGAGGAAAAACAAACAATCGTTTTTTTCCTTTGCTTTTATCCTTTGAAGAATGGGGCATTCTGCAGCCGTTTGTGACCACAGAGCTTCGTTTGAATTGACGAAAGATTGGAATGGGATCGAACAAGTTGAACTTAGGAACCCTCAAGGAGCATCGACTCGAGTAAGATCCAACCCTGATTACCGTTTCTGATTTCAAATACGATTTTTGTGGATATGGGATTTATTGTTTTATTTGTGCTTTTGTTTGGTTATAAGAAATTTCATCTGATTAGATCTGTTTTATTTTAGAGAGAGTTGGTTTTCTTGAAGTTATATTCGTTGTGAATTTGTGAAAAATTCAGGTCAGTTTGTACGGTGGACAAGTTCTCTCGTGGAGGAATGAAAGAGGCGAAGAACTTCTGTTTACCAGTAGTAAGGTGTCGATTATATTCGAATATTCTTTTTTCCATTTTTTTTCTTTCTTTCACAAGAACCTACATTTTATTTTATTGTTATAATTATAAATAATTAGATATGGGATTAGTGGAATTTTAGTCACAAATGTTGTTACCTGATTTGAATTATTGCTGCTGATCGACGAAATCCCGTGTTTCTGTTTTTGAGTAATTAAATGTTGTGTATATTGGCTTTGCAAAACATTGCAGTCCATCTTTAAGTCTCCGAAAGCAATGCGAGGAGGAATCTCTATTTGCTTTCCCCAGGTACCACCATTCGTTTATTTTTCGTATTCATCTTTTTTTTCTTTCTTTTTTTTCTTTTTTTTTTTTTTGAATCCTGCTGATTTATAATTATATATATATATATTTCTTGAAAAATGGTTCAGTTTGGAAACTGTGGTTCACCTGATCAAAATGGATTTGCTCGGAACAAAATTTGGACAATCGAGAATAATCCTCCTCCATTGCATCCAAATGATTCCGTCGGTAAATCCTTTGTCGACTTGTTACTAAAACCAGCCGAAGAAGATCTCAAGTGCTGGCCTCATAGGTATGAACACATTGAATTTTATTTCCAATCATTAAGTATTTCCAATTTAATTTTATATTTTCTACGTTTTGTCAGCTTTGAGCTCCGCCTTAGAGTTGCGCTGGCTTCTGACGGAAACTTGATATTGATATCTCGCGTAAGGAACATAAACGGGAAGCCTTTCAGCTTCTCGTTTTCTTACCACACACACTTCTCTGTTTCTGATATAAGGTAAACAAAAAAAAAATCGAATATTCAGTTTTTGCAATTCTTGATATGGATTTTAAAGTTGATTTTTACATCAAAATTTAATGTACTATAAAACAGTGAAGTGAGAGTAGAAGGTTTAGAGACACTGGATTACCTCGACAATCTCTGCCAAAAGGAACGGTTTACGGAGCAAGGTGATGCCATAACATTCGAATCTGAGGTAACGAAAAAAAGAAAAAAGAAATGCGCTCTTTTAATCTTTACTTGGACTTGAAAAACAAATTGATTTTGTATATTATTTATTGTTTAAAGGTGGACCGTGTTTATCTAAGCTCTCCACAGTGTGTTGCTGTTTTGGATCACGAGAAAAAACGGACATATGTTATCAGAAAGGAAGGCCTACCCGATATTGGTAATTATTATAAAATGTTTGATATATATATTTTTTTCAATTCAAGATTCTTGTTTCTTGAACACTAAAAATTGGATTTTTTTTTGTTAAAGTTGTGTGGAATCCATGGGAGAAAAAGTCGAAAGCAATGGCGGATTTTGGAGACGAAGAATACAAACAGATGGTATGTGTAGCTGGAGCAGCTATTGAAAATAAAATCACATTAAAACCGAGAGAAGAATGGACTGGCAGGATTGAGCTTGCAGCTGTCCCGTCTAGCTTTTGCACCGATTTTCTCGACCCTCATCTCAACTTCTTCTGACGCTCTCGATTTCAGTTACTCTGGTTAAGGATCTTGTCTTAATGCAGCAGTATATTAGTGAAACCTCAACTATTGTTTTTTTTAATATGCAAATTGAGGGATTTAGTCTTTAGAGATGTCTTGTTTTGCTGGCTGTATGGATTTATTGTATCCAACCTTACTATTTTCTACAACTTATATGCTCAAATTTTCTTGATCTCTGTTGATTTCTTCATTTTTTAATTTTTTTTTATATATTTTTTTTAACCTTTAATTCAAATGTTATGGCATCAATTTTTGCTGTAATATGTAACATGTAATTGCTTGGATTTCATTGTACAACAATGTAAGTGAGAGTAATAACTAAATTCCTTGTAATAACTAAATTTCAAAGCTCAATTTTCTGACATACATACAACAAATCACAATTTAAAATTTTAAGTCGAAACCAAAATTGGCACAAATAGTGTATCAATCATGGAAAGAAAGGATGATCATATCGTTTTTCAAGAGCTGTATTCGAACTTGTATTTTAAAAAAAGAACTCCTCTACCAAGATAGCAAATCATATACCCCTGCGAGACTCCAACTGCTTCGTGTTCTCCAATAGTATCTGTCACACGAAAGAACACCAAATTCCAATAAAAATTTGTCCCCCGATAAATAAAAATTCGTCCGGATCATATGATTAAGAACACGGTAATTTCCGTAGTGATGAATTTTAACAACGCTTACCTCTCGAATGTAACTTGCCACTGCTTTGCAGCCTTCAATTGCTAGCTGCATGACGTTTTCAAAAGTATCCATTTGTAATTTAGCGTCCATCTAACACCGACACAACATTACTGATTAGGTCAAACGTAAGCAAAATGCTACGAAAATCACACAGTTGACACATCAAGAATCTAAAAGCAAACAGCAAAAACATGGCAGAATTTTCAAAAATCAAAATTTAAAATATGAACTATGCTGAAGAAATAGAAATTACCTGAAGGAGGGTAACTTTATCCAGCTTCGGCAGAATTCCAACAGTAACATCCGCTCCACCAGCACTATCTTCCAAATAATTCAAGTCTGTTTGATTTAAAAAACTAAAGGTTTATCTTCATGTTTTACATGATAATATAAAGCATTCAAATCATCAATTTATGCACAACATCGAAAAAAATATCGACTCAAGTGAACTGTATAATTTACCAAGCAGAGGGGTCCCATTAAGAAATCCAGAACTGCATGAGGTTACAAGATCACGCATTGGAATACCAGCATCGGCAAGAGCCAACGTTGCTGCATTTATGCATGCCGATCTTGTTCCTGAATAATATGCATGTCAGTCAATTCTACACTTAATAGAAATAAAAGGATCATTAGTGCAATTACGAACTCATCTTACCTCCATCTGCTTGGAGTACTTGGACAAAAATGTCAATCTACAAAATAAAAAAGAACAAAGATCACATTTTTGAAGTAAAAGAAACAAGAAATTAACTACACCCGTTTGGTTGGAGAAGAACCTGAGAACGAGGCATTAGGTGTGTCAATATGCATGCTTCCATTGTCTGACGAATGACTAACGATATCTCTGTGGATCTCCTGTACATCGCATGAAAAATTACTCGAGATGAAAGTAATTGCAAAAAATTACTCGAGATGAAAGTAATTGCAAAAAAGAGAAAGCACAACGAACATTTGGCCACACATGCATGTAAATGATGTGTCAATTACATATCACAAGTTTAAGTTCTAACAAGTTTTAATTACCTGTCCCCCTTCGGTTTCCTCATGCGATCTCCGGTACTGAAATTTGCCATGCTATACTCACAGCGCACCTGGCAGATACGTCGTGCATAAAAGATAAAAATTGCTGGATAGAATAATCACGAAAAATCTAAACACACAATCGGGTAATGGCATAAGTAATTACCAATGCCTGATCGTTAAGTTGTTGACTCCTATTTTGGACCTGAAAGATTTCCGATCGGCAAAATTCAAACTTTCAATCAGTACAGTTCACAAAGAAATCTCTCAAGTTTTGGAACAAGCTTAAAGAAAGCTTAAGGAAGTAAGTAAAACATCCATAGACAGGCAGAGGTTGTTTATATCTCGTAAGACGATAAATTTGAGTTCGTCAACGAAACGCATAACAGATTTTTATGCTAAAAACTATTAACAAAAGGAACCTCTCTGGGACCATAAACGGCGGCAATGACTTTAGTGTTCCCCATTTCAAAAACAGCCGAGCTGCAAACAACAAGATCAAATTAATCCACACACACTTCAATTGAGTTCATAAATACTCGACTAGTCATTTTTACAAACAGTTTGTGGGCACTTTTTTCGCAGTGCATGAAACAGTGATTGCAAATCACTTACCCATCAGCTTTTGAAATTACGCCTATTTCTGCACGAAGCTGCCTCATCTGAACTCGCAAATAAGAGAAAAGATAAAATAAAAACCAACAGTAATTGACGTTTAAAACTAATTTAAAAAAAAAAAAAGTAATGAAGAAAGAGAAAATCAACCTCCATGGGGCGGCGACCATCTAACCGGAGACCTTCAGGGTTGACGTACTCCATATCCGCTTCAAACAAAAAGCCGCCGTACGCCGCCGCAAAGGATGGTGGCGATTCTAGCGTTTAATTTGGGTGGGGGGAAGAAGACGAATAATAATATAAATGGGCCGGAAAGTAAAATTGTTTCTTTTGTGGGCTTCCTTTTGTAAATTTAATTAAGGCCCAAACCTATAACTATTTAATTATAATAAATTCGTCTATAACAATTTTATTATTTAATTATAATATAATATAAAAAAAAACTGGAAAAATAAAAATAAATAAAAAATAAAAAAAAGAAATAAAAAGTCATAGTATATTCAGCACTCAGTCTTTCACTCATTTGATAGCGTCAAAAAACAGCAGCGGCAGCTGAACAAGGAAGAGGAAAAGGTCAGAAACTAATGCAATTAATTAATTCTTCTCCTCTACTTTATTTTTTCTTCATATACAGATTATTTTTTTTATTTTACTCCTGATTAATTTTTAATTTTGGGCTTCGTTTTTTTTTTTTTTTAATTTTGTAATAGATCTGGTTGTTTTTCGATGGCTCAAAACGGATCTTGAAGGAGCTGAAGGATCTACAGAAAGATCCTCCTACTTCCTGCAGCGCAGGTTTTTTTATTTATTTTTTATTTTTTTATTTTATTTTTTTATGTATTTATGATTTAATATGCTGTTTGAGTTTTTTTACGAGGTTTAATCTGTGTGCATAGCTGGTATATGAACTGAATTTCATCTGGGCTTGCTATTTTTTTGATGTTGTGATTATTTTTTTTGCCAGTGATTAAAATTAAAAGAATAAATAAGTCAGGAAAATAAATTAATTAATTAGTGGGTGTTTATAATTTGATTTTTCACTAATTAATTAATTAATTAATTAGTGGTGGTTTGTTTGGAAGTCGTATGATTAGGGTTTACGATGTCATGCGATTCGATTATGATAAGAATTTACGGAATGGGAAATTGATTCATGTATTACATATTTCCCCAAACATCTTAGGCCTTGTTTGGTTGGGGAGATTAGCTATTATTAACTAAATAATTTGACTTTGTTTGATGCTTGGTATCCCTAATAACTTGCCGGGTTGACCCGCCAATAGTATATAATAACGATTTATCTTGCCTTTTAGGGAGTTTTTTTTGTTGGATGTCTTGTGGTTCGATAAAATAATTGGGTTGTCATTGGATTATTTAATTTTTTATCTTGCCTAATCAATTATCGTGGCAACCAAACAAGGCCTTAAGAGATAAAGTACTATAGATTTTCACATATGCGACGTGTCGATATCATTCACACGTGTCTCTACCGCAAACCGACTGTATGTTACAGAATAAAAGCAAACTTCCTTTTAAAATAAAATTACATTATTATTTAGAAAATGATTTTATTTTAGCCCCTCGTTTTAACGTATTGCACTTTTCGACATGTTTTCTTGTCATTGTTTGTAATAAATTGTCGTTGCCCGACTAGTTTCCCTTCTTAGTAAAACGTGCTCGGGTTCTGAAGTTGATTCGTAAATGTAAATGCAATAACATCTATAGTGGATCTTGTGATGAAAGTTATTCAATTTTAGTATGATTTTGTTCCCAATTCCTTTTTACTTGCAACATTCAACACGGTTAAGAAATGTTACTCAATCAAAGATTCCTTCGATTTTTTTTTTTTTTTTTTTTGCGAAATGTAGTAATTGATGTTTTTTTCGTGTATGGTAACAGGACCTGTAGGCGAGGACATGTTTCACTGGCAAGCAACGATAATGGGCCCACAAGATAGTCCTTACGCCGGCGGAGTTTTTCTAGTCACCATTCATTTCCCTCCGGATTACCCATTCAAACCCCCGAAGGTAACCAACAATTCCCGATTTTCTTATTATTTTTTGCCTTCCGATAGCAATTTTTCCAAAAGTCCCTAAAAACAACACGAACCTTTCGTGCGTCTCGTAATGTGGCTATGTAATTTGATATTGAAAAATATTTTCACCTTCATGGTTTTCCGATTCTTGATTATTTATTAGAACTGGAAAACATTCTAGAAGGACGTAACAAACACTCCGATATTTCTCGATGTTTTTCTCCATATGTACATTTGTTGGAATTACAATAAGCACCTTTAGGTTACGTATTTTTCATTGGTTCAATTTACACAGGTGGCATTCCGGACGAAAGTTTTCCACCCGAATATTAACAGCAACGGTAGCATTTGCCTCGACATCTTAAAGGAGCAGTGGAGCCCTGCCTTGACAATTTCCAAGGTTAATTTCGTAATTACTTGTAATATACTCGATTCCAACTTCATAATTACCCCCACAAAATGAAATAAATATATAAAATTTCAGGTGTTGCTATCAATTTGTTCGCTTTTGACTGATCCAAATCCGGACGACCCGTTGGTGCCGGAAATAGCACACATGTACAAAACGGACAGATCAAAGTACGAGCAAACCGCTCGAAGCTGGACCCAAAAGTACGCAATGGGTTAGTGCCACGTGGCGAAAGATTGCATGCAGTGTAAAAAAATTCATGTGGTGCTGTCTGTTATTTGTGTTCTTGTGTAAGAAGAGGAGCTTTTTAAAACTGATGTTGGCAATTATGGGTTCTATTATAATTTTATGCTTGTGACTTAATATTTATATTTATATTTGGTTTCTAATAATAATTATTATTTAATTTCTGCTTTTCTTGAATTTCTTTTTGTGGGTTTAATGTCTATTATTTGTTTACGGGTATGGGCCCAATTCTTTTTATCTTTAATTTTTTGTTGTCAAATTTGGGAGCAAGAAATTGGGTTGTAGTGATTTAAGTACTAGGTATTGCAATTTGTCTCTATTCAAATTTTAGAAATTTTGGTCATATTTTATTAATTACAATTTATTTCATATTGGCCATGTTGAAAAATACTTGTTTTATTATCCGAAAAAGAAAATGGAAAAAGGAAAAAATATATATAATTAAAAGTGAAGCCAAAATAAATAATAATACCCTATCACAAGGGGTAATTTTGTAACTAAGGATTCGTGTTGAAACTAATTTATTAATTTATTTTAATTGATTGAAATTCGAGTGATGGGATAAAGACAATTAAAGAAAATATTTATTGATTTTCCAATTATATATATGTTTTCTTTTGCGTGAAGCTCAAGTTTTGGACTGTGCATATTCATCATTTCACAGTGAGAGAGAGAGATAGTACAACCACTGAATCACGCCCTTTGTCATGTTTTGGTACAACATTTCTCTGACATTAATTAAATACACGTTGGAAATATTAAAATATATTTGCATAATATTATAATTTTTTTTAAATATTAACACCTTAAAAACATTCTTGGAGAAATTATTTATTTAATTTTAAATAGATATAGCCGTATCTCAAGTACTTGGAGTGCAAGTAACACGAAATATATGGCAATTTCTCTTCAATTAAGTAGAACACAAATTTTTTTTATTTGTATTCATATAAAAAAAATAAAATGAAATATAATTTATAAATATAAATAAGTGTAGTGTAGTATGAAATATGAATAATTCAAATAAAAACTTATTCTTTTTCAACCAAAAAAATAGGTCAAACTTAAATAATTGACTCCAAATAGTTAGGGAATCTCATTTATCTCATGGGCCCTGGACCGACTCTCTCTCTCTCTCACTCTCTCTCTTTCTCTCTCTACTCTTTCTCTCTCTACCTATATATAATTTTGAGATCTTTAATTTTTTTATTCAGAATCATTTGATTTTTATAAATCTTTAAATTCTTATATTCCTGAGTTACAGTTACAGTCTAAAACCTTTTTCTCTTCAATCCTGTTTTTACTCCACTCATTTAACACTATTAAATTATTCCCACCTATTATTTTTTTTTTTTTTTTCTGTCGAGAGAAATGAATCCGCCGAATATGCAGGAGAAGCCCTTCAAGTACTCCGTGAGTACGACGGTCACAACGAAGCTGGTTCCGTCGCCGCCGTCTCGCGGTGGCGGCGCGTTGGGCACCAGAACCCCACGCGTGGTGAGGATTTCCGTTACGGACGGCGACGCCACGGACTCCTCCGGCGATGAGTGTGGTGACATGAGGTTTCGCCACGTGAGGAAGCACGTGCAGGAGATCAGAGTGGAGGCGGAGAGTGTTTACTACGCGAATAATGGGATGCAGAAGAAGAAGAGGGCGGCGCCGCCGCGGGGTCCGCCGCCGGACGAGAAGGGGAAGGCGAAGAAGTTCCGGGGTGTGAGGCAGCGGCCGTGGGGGAGATGGGCCGCCGAGATACGCGACCCAAATCGACGGGGGAGGGTTTGGCTGGGGACTTACGACACGGCGGAGGAGGCGGCTATGGTGTACGACAAGGCGGCGATTGGTATACGCGGCCCCGATGCTATGACAAATTTTATACAGCCACCGAGAATCGCCACGGCGGAGGCGGCGGCGGCGGTTACGTCGGTTTCCGGCGATGATTCGGCGGCGAAGGAGGAAGCATGTGAGAACCCCTCCTCCTCGCCAACGTCTGTTTTGAGGTTTACTACTAATGGCGGTGCGAATATGTCGGAATCTGAATTTAAAAATAATAATAATAATGACGTGGAAAATCGGACGGCGAGAAATGAGTTTCTGATAGGCGACTGTCTACCGTTGGATGAATCTTTCTTAAACAGTCTCTCGGATTTCCAGCCACACGCGCCGTTGATTTTTGATTTTCCGGAGCAAGTTTTGGGGGATGGATCCAATTTTCATTTGGGTGAAGATATTGATTCATTCAAATCTGATTTAAATGATTTCTTTGATTTTAATGATTTCGATGACCAATTTTTGTTTGCTTGAAGATTTTCTTGGCAAGAGAAAAAAATCTTGTATATATATATTTCTATATATATATTTGGTATTCTATTAGTTTTTTTTTTGTTAATTTATTTCAAGAAAGATGTCTAGTAGTGTTGATTTTGTATTTCCTTTTTTTTTTTTTTTTTTGATAATTTGTAGTGATTTGTTATTGACATTTTCTATGTTATTATTATTATTATTATTATTATTATTATTATTATTATTATTATTATTATTATTACTTTATATAAATTGAGAGAAATTTCGCATGCAATATTTGTATTGAACAACACAATGTTGATGCTAAAATGTTTAATTGATATTTAATTGTATAATATGTATGAATGATGTGACAAGTTGAAGATTTTAAACATGTGAAATATATATATTTTTTTGTATAAATACATTACACATATAAGTGTTTAAATGCACGTGAAGCTTAGTGGATATGACATTCCAATTCAAGAAGAAAATAAATTAAATAATATATTACTATGTTTGTAGAAAAGAGCAAATTATTTTCATTTCTGTGATATGCCATTTTGATTTACACATATATATAATTGTTTTTATTGCAGTAATTAAATGCTCTCTACAAACAACCTTATTTATTGCACTAAAAATAATTAGTCATTTTTAAGTTAATTTAAATTTTTTTTGGGCCTTTGGATTGTAGGGGAATATTTATTTTACCAATAAAAATAACACAAAAAGAATTAAATTAAATTAATTACAGAAAAAGGTATGAAAATGCATAAGATCCAGAGAATCAACGGTCAGAAATCATTCGTGACCAATTTCATGATCGACCTTCCGCGAATACCAAAAATGATTTTTTAAAGTGACGTGTCTGAGAAATTGGGCCCCACTGAAGTTTTGACTATACTCTTCATCCGCCAATCACAGTTCGTAAAAACTAATAAAATAATAAAAAAAAAATATTGTTATTATTTATTTATTAATGCAATCTGTGTCTCGTCAAAGGATCCTACACCAAAATGTAATAATTACTAGCAACTAGAAAATGTCACATCTACATACTATGTTAGTGTTTTTTTTTTTAACTCAAAAAAAAAAAAAAATCTTAAAATGCCACGTGGCTATGAATTAATTTCATGTTACAATGACATTCAAAAATAAAAAATAGTGACCTAATTCACAGTATTAGATTTCCTATAATTGGTTGTAGAGTTCACATATAATAATTGATGTCGGATTTTATTATTAGAATGAATAAAAGAAATACTCACTATAAGTAGCCCATTTAAAAAAATAAATTGTGTAAAAAATAATTGTCGAGGGAGTAATGTGCAAAACGCAGGATAGTTTGGGGGGCAAAGTGCTAATATTATCTAGGTAAAAGACAAGACAAACAGCTAAGTTTTGTACCACTGTATCACTTAATTCCAAACAATTTTGAAGAAAAATAAATAAATAAAATAAAATAAAAAAATGTAGACCATAAAAGAAGAAGCATGGCTGCAAATGCAAAAAGGGTTATCAACAAAATCCCTGATAAAGAAGTCAATGGTTCATGATAATATGGAGAGAGAGAGAGAGAGAGAGAGAGAGAGAGAGAGAGAGAGAGAGAGAGAGAGAGAGAGAGAGAGAGAGAGAGAGAGAGAGAGAGAGAGAGAGAGAGAGAATCAAAATAAATCGATATTGATTCTTGATGATGGAAAACGACAAGCTGCGAATTCTAACAGAGAAAACATGGGATTTGCATTGCAAAATCAACGACAGAATAACCAATAATCAAACCCGGTTCAGTACTAGTTTGTGCAGCCACTGCTCGAATCATGGCAGATACTGCGTGGTGATGACGTCAGCAGATGAGGAGATGAATAAGAAGATGGTTGTGTTAAGGGATTCTGTCAAAGATGTTCACACCATTCTTTTATTCTTACAGGTAATTAATTAGTTTACTATATATACTTTGTTAATCCATGTTAATTAATTAATTATTATATTTTTGTTAAAAATGATTATATATATATATATATTAATTAATTTAATTTTCAGAGGGTAAAATCAGGTGAGAAGAAGAAAATGGAAGAAGCTTTAGGGCGATTGGAGGAGAGCAGAAATATAGTTAGAGAGATAATAAATGAGTACAAGGGGAGACTGAATAATAATAATAATAATAATAATAATAATAATAATAATAATAATAATAATATTCTTGATGAGATTATTTCATTTCTGGGAGATGATCAGAATTTCAAATTTAATAATATATTGGATAAGAAGATTATTAGTGAACAGCAGCAGAAGAAGAAGGAGAAGAAGAATTTGAATGGGATTATTAGTGATTTAATAATAAATAGTGTGAGATTTGGTGTGGAATTTGGTGTGATGTTTGTAAGTATTTATGCAGGTGTTAAATTGTATGAAAATAGGAAGCATAATCATATGTTAGTGAGAGAAGTGGTTGTTGCATCACACAACATTCAGTTAGATGTTTTATGTGGGAGGGGCTGATTTTTTTTGTTACAAATAATTTGTCCAAGATTTTTTAATTAATTCATTGTATATTTCCGATCCATAAGTCCAGAAACATCATTTATTTCTTTTTGCAATGGAAGGCGACTTGATGCTTCGATTCGATAGACAAGCAACAATGATATTCGATTGTAGTATGCAAAAAAAGAAAAGAGAAACGATATTCGATTGTGGCTCGTGCATACATGCTTAAGTATCCGCCATGTGAACTTTTATTGCCTAATTAATTGAATATGCTAATTTATTTATTTAAAATTTGAAATTGTCTTTCTAAAATACCCACAAATAATGAATTGACAAAGGATGTAAAATAGAAAATAGTTAAATTTACACAAAGTTTGAGGGGAAAATGCAGCCAAACAATGCCCTAATTTTTTTATGCAAGTATTATCATGTAGACATATTTTCATGTCGACGTGGGAATTGTTGTAACGCAACGTAGTGAGTGACGGTATGGCTGAGCTCTGTTTGGCAACACGCCATATTTTAAAAAGCTAATATTATCTATTTATTTGTTTCTATTAATTTCATAAATAATAAATATGATCCAAGCTAATCAAATATTCAATTTTCTTAACTACAGCTGTAACTAAAAAACAAAATCATATATTTATATAGCTTAATTAATATATTTTGATAATTTGATTTACAATATATAATAAATTAAAAGAAAAAAGTTGGAGAATTAGCCAAACACGGCCTTAAGAAAAAAAATGTTGAAACACAATAAAGAACAAATGACAAGTGTGGACCTCTCGCCAATCTTCCCCATTGTTTGGCGCCTTCGAATCAAAGCCACGAATCACCCAAACACACAATTTTCATTTCTTAAATCACAACAGAATCATCATAAAAGAAACCCACAATCGAAAAAGGAAAAAACAATCAAAAATCCAAATTTATCTCGCGATTTCCTAAAAAATAAAAATTCAATCTTTCCGAAAATCCTGGAATTTTTTTGTGTGTGAAATTGGATGGTGGGTTCGTCAAGACAAGGTTTTCCTTCATGGATGGGAGTAGCTACAGCTACAAGAAAAGTGGAGCTCGAAAAAAACATGGTGAAAGACGATGCTTCCTTCAACAAAGAGCCCTCCAAATCCCAAATTTCTGATGTCGACTTGACTTTCTGGGAGAGGGCTTTTTCTGCCGGCGGCGCCGCCTTCCTCTCCGCCGTCATCGTCAACCCTCTCGATGTTGCCAAGGTAGTTAATTGCTTCTCCAATTTAATTAGTTAGTTATCTGCCCTAATTGGTTGTTTGATTTAATTAATAATTTCCCCTCTGTTTTAGTAGCTGTGTTTTTACTGTTCACATTTTTATACAGACTAGGTTACAAGCTCAGGCTGCTGGAGTACCCTATGATGGATTTTGTCGAACCGGAACCGGATGCATCGAAACGAACACGGTAAATAACAATCGAGCCGATTTCTAGCAAATGCCATTTTTTTTTGTTTTTAATAGCTTAATTAATGCAGTAGTTATTGCCCGAAATCGGTACTCAGATTTTGCAGGATCTAAAGTATATGCCGTCCGCTGTTCGTACGTCTATCTGGTCTCAACCGACGTGCTCTCCCGATTGTACCCGTTACAGAGGAACGTTAGACGTGTTCTACAAAGTCACGCAGCAGGTTAGTACTCGTCGTATCTGTCTGTAAGCGCAAGGCATTCTTGATATTCGAATTCATTACACGGGCTAAAAGTTCTTGTTAATTAGACGAATGTTGATAATATTGCGTTTGTATTTTAACTCGTTTATTTCCCTCCAACCCGTGTTATGAGAGAATGCACATTTGATATTATATGGATTTGTTTGTGAAAGATGTCCCTAACCGTATTATATCGTCTAGGAAGGATTATCGAGATTGTGGAGAGGAACGAATGCCAGTTTAGCATTGGCGATCCCTTCCGTAAGTCGTCTATAACAGCAGTGAATCTTTTCACAGATTCTATGTTGTAATAACAAGAACTATTGTTAATTTTGCAGGTTGGAATATATATGCCTCTGTACGATATTTTTCGGAACTACTTGGAAAATATTGCATTGCAGAATGCTCCAAGTGTTGCACCGTATGTCCCGGTAGTTGCTGGATCGTTAGCTCGTTCGATAGCTTGTGTTACTTGCTATCCTGTCGAGCTTGCAAGAACAAGAATGCAGGTATAAATTATCATAATTGCCTATGGATAATGTATTATTTTATCGCGCCGTATTATTAAATGGTAATTAAGGTAATCTTTTCGGTAATAGGCGTTTAAACACAGCCAAGGTGGGGTGAGGCCGCCAGGCGTATTGAAAACTTTGGTCGGTGTCGTTTCTTCACTCAAGACAACTAATAATCCTCAAGCTTGTATGTTTGCTTTATGAACCCTTTTTACCTTTCATATCGAGTTATTTAAATACGAGTCTTTGTGTTGGAATATTTGTTTCTTTTGAATTCATATATTTTACGAGAATGAGAAATAATATTTTTGTGACTAAAATTGCACCAGTTCAAAGCTACCGGATCTTATGGACTGGCCTCGGAGCACAACTCGCACGGGATGTTCCTTACTCTGCAGTTTGCTGGTCAACTCTAGAGCCAGTAAGGACTTTCATTTGTGTGTGTGTGTGTGTGTGTGTGTGTGTGTCTATATATATATATATATATATATATATATATATATATATATATATATATATATATATATATATATATATATATATATATATATATATATATATAATATTTTCTTGATTCATTGGGATTTTTGTGATATTTTATTTAATACTCGATAACTCGGTGCCAGCTTAGAAGAAGAATTTTAGCACGGATAGGCGATGAAGCCAGCGCATCCAGCATTCTTGGAGCAAATTTTTGTGCCGGTTTTGTTGCTGGAAGCCTTGCTGCTGCTGCCACCTGTCCTCTAGATGTTGCAAGAACTCGTCGTCAGATCGAGGTTCTTTTTTTTTTCTTCTCGTTTTCATTATATTTTATATTTGATTCTCATCATATAAAGAAAATTCTATGTAAATAAAAGAAAACACCTTGTTGTTCTTGCCTGTTTATTGTTTTGGTGAAGATGTAGTATTTTTGGATTTTTTCAGAAAGACTCGACACGAGCGTTGACCATGACCACGAGACAAACGTTGATTGAGATTTGGAGGTACACACACACACACACACACATATATATATAATTAGCTATAACTCACATGTTTTGGTATTGTGAAACAGAGATGGAGGTATCAGGGGATTATTTGCAGGGGCGGGCCCACGAGTTGCACGGGCGGGCCCATCAGTCGGGATAGTGGTTTCGTTTTACGAAGTGGTTAAATATGCAATGCAATATAGACAATCAAAGGAGCGATTATATGGAAGATGACAATTGTGAAGGCCGAAAAACGAGGCAATCTAAGCCATCCATCAAGATTTTTTTGAGATCACTGATTAGTCGACTATCAACGTAGATTATAAATTTGTGAGATTATTCACGGTACAATTGGAATATTTGGTGCAATGACCTGTTTCATCTCTTGTCGAAGATGGAACTTGTTTGACAAGTCTCATTGCACGATTCTTGAAATAAAATTTACGACTTTTCGTTGTCTTTTTTGTTGCTCTCAAACTTGATTTTGTTTGACAATTCTTCGAATAAGCACACGACATGACAAGGCTCGTGGGGAGGATGAATGACGTCCAATCACCGAAATTTGGGAACTTTCAACAAGATGTCAATATGCTTGAAATTGAATAAACACACACACACACACACACACATATTAACTAGACACTAGACATCAAAAACGACATTCCAATAATAATAATAATAATAATAATATATTTCAATAAGACCACAAGAAAGCTCCCATTGCAAATTTCTTCTTGTGATGAACATCGCCAATGACGGGCAGCCCGTATTCAGCTAATAGGCAGTCGAGTTTCCACTCGGGCATCTCTTCATATTCTGCGCGGCTGTACCTCGGGTAGTGCAACGGCATTTGAAACCCGCACCTCTCGCTTCCCACCTGCAGCCCATTTGCGGTGGCGCCACCACCGCCAAGATTTGTAGGTGGAGGCCTCGCAATGGATCCCATTTCAATATTTGTAGGTGAATAGTTGTATTATAAGATTGTTAATTAGAAATCATGAAGTTTTGGAAGTATTTATAGTCAAATTTTGGAGGGGGGTAGAGCATTTATTTACGAGGTGGGTGAAATAATATAAATGCTGGAAATATTAAATATTATTAATAAATATTTTCGATATATGAATTATGGTGTTGGTGATTTTAATGTAGGCGGGGGCTCTTTGTTGCCTCGTGCATGTACGCGGCATTTGCATACTAATAAAGTATACGTAATTAATGTCATATATATTATAAAAGAAATAATTAATTAGAGATAATTCTGATACTTCATCCTATTATATCCTACCATACACGCGTCTAGATTCATACATATTTCAAACACACAAACGGATACACGTCTAGATTCGCCTTGTCTACCAAGTCTACTAGTACACTGCATTCGTTACTTATCTCTTGATTTATTTGTCCTTTTTTTTTAAAGGGACAAATAAGACGGAACCATAAAATCAAGAAACAAAAATTGAAATACCAAGAAGCTACCTACATTAAATGCAATAAATGAACAAGTGTGTTCTATTTGCAATCTTGTCCACAAATGCATGTCGTTTCTACTACGGCAAACCAACTTCAAGGTATGCAAATTATTTTCTCACTTCCCTCAAATGTGCGACACACACACGCTTATAACCACACAGATTATGTATAGGCCATCAATAATGCAGCAATGTGCAATGGGGAATTGTACCTGGTACAAGTTTTCAGACCACATACGGCGGTACAGCTCTCTCATTGTCGGTGGTTATGGTTGCACCACCAATGGCTGCACTTGCCAATATTTCTTTAATTGATGGAATTAGTTCGGTACATAAGAATCATACAACACAAGATTTCAATGAACTCTAATAAAAATCTGACTTAACAGAACAAGAATTTTCACCGCCCCCTCAATTCGATCGGATATTATACAACTAGAATCTACTCTCATGTAAGAAACTTGTGGGGGGGGGGGGGGGGGGGAAGGTGGGGGGGGGGGGGGATCCCCCCTTCGGTTTTAATAACCGGTGGTACACCCCCTGGGTGGAACTTTCCCCCACCCCCCAGAGGGGGAAAAAATTCCCTTTTGAAACCCCCGGAAAAAATGGTTTAAAAACCAAAAAAAAGGGGGGTCTTTTGAAGGTGCTTTTTGAAAAAAAAAAAATTTTAAGGGCCTTTTAGGGGGGGGTTTTTGAGGCCAAAGGAAAATCCCCAAGCTTTTTTGGGGGGGGAAAAAAATGGGGGGGGGCCTCCTGGCCCCAAAAAAACCCCAAAAAAAGTGTGTGGGGCCCAATTCCGAAAAAAAAAAGGAAAAATTTACCGTGGGGCAAAAGGACCGGTGTTGGAAAAATTTTTGGGGGGGGGAAAACCAAAATTTTTTTTTTGTTTGAAAAAAAAAAAAAACCC